GTATCACTTCTTGTCTTTCTGAATCCCTGGGCAGGGAATAGCAGTGGTGGCCAAGGCAGCTTCCCCTCTTGTAGTGGCATTGGTGCTTTCCTCTCTCCATGGAATGACACTCGATTTAATCATGGGTTGTATCAAAATCCATAATTTTGGCCCCCAAATCAGCCCTCAGTTTATACATCAGACCAATTTATACATGAGAGAACATATGGTACATCTCAAGCATGTATTTGAGATTTGAGGTAAATTGTTAAGTACATCACAAAATAAGACATTTATCATGGAAAAAATGAAATACATCTATTTTTTTTGTAGATTGCCTACAGTGTAATAGCTACAGCAAAAAGAGTTCAAATGCAGCTCCCTGCTTTTTACTGGATGGTCCCCAATGACATACATCAGTATACAGGAATTGTCAAGCTGCTTTTGCATTTCCAGTGGACATGGGTGGGGATTGTTGTATCGGACAATGATGATGGAGAAATATTTGTGCAGACCTTGACCTCAATGTTTTCACAGTATGGAATCTGTATTGCTTTCAGTGAAAAGACACCAGGTCTATCTCAAGTTATGGAGACAGTAGGATCATTGAGCAGAATCCAAGCCAAAGCTGCTTTCTTAACCAATCCACAAATTAATGTAATCATCGTTAATGCAGAGCCTCAGACAACAACATGGCTGAAATGGTTTATTTATTTGCACTCAGTGTTGGAAGGTACTGCGTATACTACTTTTGGTAAAGTGTGGATTATGACAGCCCAGTGGGATTTCTCAACCGAAACATTACAAAAGGTGTTCGATATACAAGTTTTCTCTGGTACATTATCATTTGCAATTCAAACCCACCAAGTGATAGGATTTCCGAGATTCCTTCAAATGCTACATCCTGGTTCACAAAAAGATGATCATTTTTTAAGTATCTTCTGGGAACATGTCTTCAGTTGCTCATTAACCAATTTTAATGAATTCAGTGTTAACTGCACTGGGCAGGAAAAACTGGAGAGGCTTCCTGGAGTTCTTTTTGAAATGAGCATGACAGGTAAAAGCTACAGTATCTATAATGCAGTCTATACTATAGCACATGCTCTACATAAGATATTGAAGCATAAACCTACAGCAGTGATGAAAGTTTACAGGCGACGTTCTCTAAATCTTCAACCTTGGCAGGTAATGATACATAAACAATATCCCCAACAATGAGCTAATTTAATTGTTGAGACTACAAATTTGATGAAGCATACAAAATGTATCCTAGAAATATTTCCTTATTTCCTTTTCTCTTTGCTACCAGTCTAGCTGAAGGCAGTATCCCATTGAAATCAGACAAAATAATGCTTGATAGTCTTCCATGATGCCAAAGCCAGTGTCTACTGTCTCCTGTGGTTTAGCCTTAGGACTGTTTTATTTATTTATTTATTTAAACTTATATGCCGCCACTCCCCTGGGGCTCGGAGCGGCTTACAAGAATAGCTAAAATCTAACAAAGTTTAAAAGGAATTTAAAACAATTTAAAAACAACAGTATCAAACATTAAAAGCCTGTCGGAACAGGTATGTCTTACATGCCCTGTGGAAAGCTGGTAAGTCCCGCAGGGCACGAACCTCAGGTGGCAGAGCATTCCAGACTGATGGCGCCACTGCTGTGAAGGCTCTGCGTCTGGTTGCCGTTAGACGCAAGGTCTTGACACTGGGGACTCCAATAGATCTTGGTCCTCAGAACGGAGGGATCTCTGGGGTTGGTAGGGGGTGAGACGATCCCTCAGATACATTGGCCCCAGACCATGCAAGGCCTTAAAGGTAGTACCATCACTTTGAAAGTGATCCGGTGCTCAATTGGTAACCAATGCAGCTGTAGTAAGATTGGTGTTATGTGGCATCTCATCGGAATTCCCGCAAGAAGCCGAGCAGCTGCATTTTGTACCAACTTGAGCTTCCGGATCACCGACAGAGGGAGGCCAATGTAGAGGGCGTTACAGTTTTAAAAGAGAGGAGCATGGAAAGAAAATTGAATGGCAGAAGGAGATTTGGGCAGTTTAATAATGTGTAAATCCAGGTCAGTCTGGAGCAGAAATGTTCTTGGCTGACCCCAGAACTGGCTACGGGTACCTTGCAGAATCCTCGATGGTAGCAGTTTGACATTTGGACAGTTCAGCTAGTCCAAGTCTGCATCGGCTAACTGGGCCATGACCTCATCTTCTGTTTCCAGTTAGCCACAGAACTCCATGTGAGCTCCTGGCAATTGTGGGCATCCTATTCAGACATCAGTAGAGGCCCATGTTCACCCAGTAAGAAAGAAAGGGTCGATATCCCCAACTTCTCTCTGGTTGCATGGGCATTTCTAAATAAGGTGCTCACAACATCCAGAAGTTTGGGTGGAGTTTTGTGGCCAGCTGGGAGTGGTGACACTTGCAACATTGGCTTTTCCCTGGCTGGTGAACAATATCTCATGTGGACAAAGAACCTTTCTTAAGAGTCCACGCTATTCCGAAACAACGGGATACTCTATAGTAGCAAGGAAATTTGAAAGCATCTCCCAACTTTGCCTGAAGTGGAGCAAAGTAAGGATAAAATGCAATATGAACCACACGTGCAGGAACATCATAATGATAGTGAGGAATCAACCCATATCTGGAACATTCCAGGGCTGATTCAGCAACAAAAGGTCTTAGAAGATCTGAGTACTTTACGGGCACCAATGACAGATTTTGTGATTTGTTTCAACTCCAGCTTATAAAGTGACATCAAATTCTTGCTAAATTGGCTTGTTACTTCATAGGTGGATCTACACTGTAGACTTAATGCAATTTGACATTGACTTAAGTCTACAGTGTAGATCCATCCATGAAGTTACAAGACTTAATGCAGTTTAACATTGACTAAGCATACAAGAAGCTCGACCTATCATTGAACATCGAGAAAACCAAAGTGCTCTTCCAGCAATCACCAGGCAATTCCTCTCCAATGCCAGAAATACAGCTTACTGGTTTAACATTAGAAAATGTTGACCATTTCCGCTTCCTTGGCAGCCACCTCTCCACAAAAGTCAACATTGACACTGAAATACAACACTGCATGACCTCTGCGAGTGCAGCATTTTTCTGAATGAAGCACAGAGTGTTTGAGGGCTGGGATATCCGTAGGGATACCAAGGTGCTTGTTTATAAAGCTATTGTCCTCCCAACCCTGCTATACGCTTGTGAGACATAGACTGTCTACAGACCTCGCATGCAACTCCTAGAACGATTCCACCAGCGTTGCCTCTGAAAAATCCTGCAAATCTCTTGGGAAGACAAGTGGAAAAATGTCAGTGTACTGGAAGAAGCAAAGACCACCATTGAAGCAATGGTCCTCCACCATCAATTCCGCTGGATCAGCCATATTGTCTGGATGCCTGACCACCGTCTCCCAAAGCAGTTGTTCTACTCTGAACTCAAGAATGAAAAATGGAATATTGATGGACAGGAAAAGAGATTTAAAGATGGCTCAAAGCCAACCTTAAAAACTCTGGCATAGACACTGAGAACTGGGAAGCCCTGGTCCTTGAGCGCTCCAGCTGGAGGTCATCTGTGAACAGCAGTGCTGTAGAATTTGAATAGGCACGAATAGAGGGTGAAAGAGAGAAATGTACCAAGAGGAAGGCATGTCAAGCCAACCCCGATTGGGACCGCCTTCCACCTGGAAACCAATGCCCTCACTGCAGGAGAACATGCAGATCAAGAATAGGTCTCGACAGTCATCTATGAACCCACCATCAGTACACCAATCTTGGAAGACAATCCTACTCGGACAATGAGGGATCGCCTTAGTAAAGTGACATTGACCGCTGAATGCTATGGAATTCTGGGATTTCTAAGTCACTGAGGCATCAGCACCCTTCGGCAGAGAAGGCTAAAGCCCTTGTTAAACTTCAGTTCCCATGATTCCATAGCATTGAGCCCTCACAGTTTAAATGGTATCAAATTCCATTGATTTTATGGTGTAATTATATCCCATGCAAACTTTTGCTTTGTCATCGATAAACACTGATATCTGTCTCCACATATCTTGTAAAATATATCTTTGATTTCTTACAACTTAGCTTCACTCTTTCCTGAAGGGCATCGCATTTAACAACAGTGCTGGTGATTTCATTTCCTTTGATAAGAACAGTGAATTGGCAGCTGGATTTGATATTATCAACTGGGTTACTTTCCCAAATCAATCTTTCTCCAGTGTGAAAGTAGGAAGGATTTTAACAAGCCAAGAACTGATCCTTAACCAGGAGGCCATCTCATGGCACATGAGTTTTAATCAGGTTGGATTCTTCTTTATTTAGAGCAAACCTAAATAGAAATGGTCCACTTCATTGTGTCCTTCATTGTAATTTCAGTCTAAACAAAACATTGTGGTTTGTTAAAATGGAATGGCACACCTGATATTCTGACACCATCTCTGGAGTATTGTACTGTGCAAAAACAAACTTGAACAAAATATGTTTCTCCAAATTTATTGTAGTTTAGAGGAAAATGTGGACAAAATGTGACTTCTGTTTTAAGACTTAATGTTAGAGAAGTAAAATGTGTTCATCAAAAATCTAGTGTTATTGAGAGTTTTGAAATTTTAACTGGTACAACAGAGACCTATCTACAACTAGATTTATGTAGGCACAATATAAATGTGTGCAAAGTAACAGTGTCCCATGTTGAAAAAGCAAGCCAGCAAACAAACAAACAAATAAACAAACAAGCAGATTATAAAATTACACAGCAGGAAGATTTGTTGTTTTATTTGGTTCTTTTTTGAAACCATACCTCTGATAATATATTTGAAGTTCTACTCACTCTTTAGAAAAATTCTACTTGTGTGCCAAAGTGCTGGACTCACAAAATCAGCGCTATCTTGATAGCTTATATTTAATTACAACCCTCACTTCATCTCAGCCACAATGTGAAGGAATCTGTCAACTGAGTCCCATCTATACTGCCATTATAATGCAGATAGAACCCCATTACATAGTCATTTTAGATGACTCTCTTCCCCTTTCTGGATCTCAGTGGCTTCTGCTACAGTGATGAAAAAATGACACAGGTAAGTGTCATCCCCTTTCTCCATACTGCAGAGCATAGGAAGCACAGGTGCTATCACGAGTCCATGTGAACAGTGGGGTTGGTTAGAAGTACAGGGCTACTCTGGAGCTTCAGGGAAGTTCCAAAGCATTTTCCTGAATATTTCTTAATGTGGAGTAAAGCTGTATTAAGTGACTTTATCCCACACTGAGGGCATGAAGGCTCCTTATGCCATGTAGACACCACACAGCAAGTTCTCGTCCGCTTCAGGATATATGGTCCATGTAGATAGTCCCTCTATCTCTTATAACCTCTACCAAACATTGATGATTGGTCAGGTTCCATGGTGGGAGAAAGTGTGGAATGTTCAGACAGTGATGACTAACAGCTTATTACACTATATCCCTACTTGTTTATAAGTTAGAAGGTGTTACAGTATACTTTTATGGACAGGTGCAGCCTACCGCACTCTGTAATGAGAACTGCTACCCAGGTAGAAGAAGAAAAAAGAAAAACGGGAGACCGTTTTGTTGCTTTGATTGTGTTCCATGTGCAAATGGAAAAATATCAGATCAGAAAGGTAGGCATCATTAATGTGGATTTTTTAAATGTAACATTTCACACAGACTTTCTTTTGTCAGCAGTCCCTTTTATGGAGATTATATCAATCTAGTCATGCTCCAAATCCTTCATATATTTTATATGCTTACAATGATGAAAAAATGTGTATATGATTGTATGTGCTTCCAAATCTTCTGTTTTTGTTTTTTTTTTTTTTTTGCCATCCCATTAATTTCACAGGGTATTCTTAAGCAAGAAATAATCTGAGGGGATTTTGCCAGTTCCTGGTTTAATATGACCAACAGAGTAAACATTGATCAGTTGATATCTAAATCACCTATTTAATAATGAACTATTGATTCAGGAGTATTATTCTAACTGCCAATAGGATTCAAACCCGTATCTCAGTTTGCCTGAAATAATTGCAGGAGGATATCACTACATGTTTTAATTAGCTCCAATCTAGTTGTACGGATAGATTAAAAATAGAGTTGAAATCTTGAAAAAAAATTGAATGTACTCAGGACCTTCAAGTTGTTTATTGACTTATGGTGATCCTATCAATCTCTCAGGGAGTTTTTTCAGTTCCTTCCTCTGAAATGTAGCCTATAGCATCTGGTGTATGTCAGTAGTATCACATCCAAGTAGTGATTAGGACTGACCCTGTTTAGCTTTCTAGGCTGCTTCTACACAGCTATTTAATGAGGTCCCTCGTGCCAATCTGCCAGCCTCCACGGTGAATTGGCTGGACAGTGGAGTGATCCCAGTGCTCCACACCCCACCCGACCACCAGTGATTCTTCCCCATCACACCAAGAGGTTCCTGTGTTGACAGTGCAGTGTCCTATTCTGCTACTGTCCGAGTTGAGCAATGGAGCCCTGACAGAAATGAGGCTAATTCATATAATGGGTGGGGTGGGACTCCGTTGCTCAACTGGGGCAGAAGTGTTCTAAGATGATAAATTTTTCTCATGTGATGAGGTTCCATATCAGGATGTGGATTAAATAGACTTGGTTCCCTGCAAAACATCTACGCAGGCAGTCCAGGAACTGGCTGGAATTGAGAGAGTGGCCACAAAGATCTACTAATTGTGAATCAGTCCTACCCAATTAATATTTTTTTCCTACTCACCTGGCAAGATGTGATAATAAGAAACTGTCTGTCTGATGAAGATCAGAACTAGACCAAAACATTTTTTTTGCACAGGAAACAGCATTTTCCTTGCTGAAGTATTATGCAAAGACAAATAGTTTTTACATTGAACATGCTTTTTCTTGCACAGTGGGTATTGTTTACTGTGCATGAAAATAATGTGGATTTATTTTCACATTATTGAGCAGCCCTCTTTCTCCTTCTACTACTAGTTGTAGCTTGATCAGCACACTGTACTACAACATTTTCACACAGTGGGAAGATAACTGATAAATAATCATTGCTTCCATCAAGAAGGAAATTGAAAAAACTTACACCTCTAGCCTCTCTTAATTTCCCAATAAATAATACATTTTGCAAGTTCTGTCCAAGCTTTGGGGCTTCTGACATTTAAAATTTTAGAGTTGTTTTCAATTTGTGCAATGTTGTCCAGTTGGACAACTAATTTCCAAAGTGCTGTGTCATCTTGGCAAAGATCTGTTATCTTCCACATTCGGAAATACAGTTGGCTCTCCACAGTTTTAGGCTTGACATTTGTGGATTAACTATTCACAGATTGAATTCAAATATTATCTCTAGGAAACTTTTGGTCCTAACGTACCAGCAGTCATACTGGAGAAATCAGAAATTCCCTATCTAGGAACCTCTAGGACAGTGATTCTCAACTGTCCCCAGGTGTTTTGGCCTTCAACTCCCAGAAATCCTAACAGCTGTTAAACCGGCTGAGATTTCTGGAAGCTGTAGACCGAAACACCTGGGAATCTACAGGTTGAGAACCACTGATCTAGAACATACAATGCAACTCTATGGTTAGCTTCCAGAAGAAGCTGACCCAGGAGTCTTGCAGGAGGACTCAGAAATTCCTTGAGAAATTTTCATTTTTCACTTTCATGAGGGTCCTGTGTTGGGGATCCCAGTGAATGTGGAGGCTGACTGTAGATCAAACAAAGACTGTGACTAGTTTAGTAATCTTCATGTACGCATGTTTGTCTGGACACATGACATCCCAAATATGTGCCCTTGTGACAAATGTTTGTGTCTTGATAACACTAACCAACACACATTTTGGTGCTTCAAATGTTAATTCTGTTTCTGGGTATATTTGACTTGCTGCTCCCAAAAATGACATCAGTTTCCCCCTGTCAGGTGTAGTTTTTGAGATACAGAATATATGCCATATACCAGTCTTCATCTGCTTGCCCATATAATATCATGGCAACAGCATCTAAGAAACTAGAGCAGATGATGTCTATCTAAAGTTATTTTCTGAATCAACACCTCAAATAACCCCATGAACTGGCCTAAAACCAAGACACTAAGAATTTGTATTTGTTTTGGTTCAGCTGTGTAGTAGAGTAGGCTGTACTCTCATCCGTGGTGGGAAACTTGAATCAATAGATTGAAATACTCAATTAGGAAAACGTTCGACCTCCACAAGGTTTTTCCCAATCTGCAACTTTTCTTGTTGTCTGGTTGTCTTAGGGAGTAGGGGGCTTTGTTTTTGAAAAAAAAATGTTTTTGCAGAAAACAAAAAAAGTCTCCAAATCTGAACAATTATCAAAATGTACCAAAGCTATTGTGATTTCACCCAGTGGCTAGAAAACCTTTTAGAGTTATTTGTGCTTGGATGTGAGATGAAGTTAATGAAGATTTACATCATTAGAGTAAAAAATAATTTAAGAAAAAACATATGTTAGCAGTCAAGCATGAAACTTCAGAGTGTTAATCACTGTGGAACTTTAAAAAGTAATGATAAGGATAGACATATTTTGTTTGCTTTATATTTTCAGATATGGATGACTGCATCGCATGCCCAGAAGGTCAGTATCCAAATAAGAAGCAAGATCAATGCAATCTGAAGACCTTAAACTTCCTCTCTTTCTCGGAACCTTTGGGGATCATTTCAACATTTTTCTCTCTGTTTTTCTCTCTGATCACAGCCATTGTGTTAGTAATATTCACCAAAAACAAGAATACTCCCATTGTCAAAGCCAACAACATGGAGTTCTCTTACACTTTGCTTGTCTCCTTATTTTTCTGCTTCCTCTGCTCCTTGCTATTTATTGGTGTGCCTCACACAGTGACCTGCTATTTACAAGTGACTTTTGTTGTAATTTTCACGGTAGCTGTTTCATGCATATTGGCAAAGACCATTACAGTGGTTGTGGCTTTCATGGCCACCAAGCCAGGATCCAGAATGAAGAACTGGGTAGGAAAAAGGCTGGCAAATTCTATTCTTTTTGGTTGCTCCTTTATTCAAGTCATCATTTGCACATTATGGTTCCTCATATTTCCTCCATTCCCAGGTGTTGACATGCATTCTCTGGCTGAAGAAATCATATTAGAATGTAATGGGAGCTCAGTTATCATGTTTTATTGTAGTCTGGGCTATCTTGGATTTCTGGCTCTTGCCAGCTTCATTATGGCTTTCTTTGCCAGGAAGCTGCCAACTAGTTTCAATGAAGCCAAGCTCATAACTTTTGCCATGCTGGTGTTTTGCAGTGTTATGTTGTGCTTTCTACCAGCTTACATAAGCATCAAGGGAAAATGCTTTGTGATTTTGGAGATCTTTTCCATACTGACCTCTAGTGCGGGGTTACTGGTGTTCATCTTTTCCCCCAAATGCTATATAATTATTATGAGACCTGAGCTGAATTGTAAGGGCCAACTAGTAAGAAAAATGAGTAAAACTCCTAGGCTGAAATCCTGTGCACAGTGAATTACATAGGCAAGACTTTTGCAACGTTCTACCTGGAATGTGTACACCCTGAAGAATTTCAGAAAAGTTATTCTGTGCAAAATTACATGTTTCCCCCCCAAAAATGCATTTAATATTAAAGTCATTGTATCCAAAACACATAATGGGCTTTTTTGCAGTGCTGAATATTTGCGAATTTTGTGTACATTAAAAATATACACACCACTCATGTGCATTTTTCAGGATATTTATATCAAGATGAATAACGAGCCTTGGAAATATAGAGAATTTAAATCGAAATAAAGTTCGTATCACTGTTATGCTTGAAAGTTAAATATTCTTCTAGGAAAATATGAACCCAGTAAGTTTATTTTCCACTCCTATTTGGAACCAGCTACTAGGAGCATTTTTATGTCTACCATTTATTGTAAGTGTTGGAATCTGTACATGTCCCTCACTAAGTAGATATAAACATTAAATCAATTGGAAAGGAAAGTCCCTTCTCCTACCTTCTTGTCAGTTACTAAAATCTAACTATGAGTTTTTAAAATTCTATCTATATTCAGCCTCTGAGAGATCAAATCCAAATAAAAGCTAAGGACTTCATCACATTCAATTAAATAAGCTTTTCTACCCACTTAAGAAACCACTGCCAAAGGTGCCTTTTACACGATGCAAGCTTCAAATATGGAGTAGAGGTATCTTGCCATGTGTTTTTCCCACGATTTCTAAATCAATTGGCAATCAAATTACCCTCTGACCACTTGTAAAGATAATGATGGCATCATCATAGAGGGAGGAGCCAGGATGGGCAGAATCATTTCCTTTCTGCCACCATTTCCATTTTGTGACTGTGGAGGTATAGCAAATAAGATAGTCAAAAGATTCAGGAGAAAATAGCAAGTATGCAAATCCTGCGCATCTTCTAGTGTCTCTGTAACCTTAGCAAGCTCCTCTTCCAATATTCTCAATTGTTTCTCTGAAACTCCTGCTGTGCTGTCAGGCTTTTGTTTTGCCTATCAAAAGGCTAGCAGAGAGAGACATAGAAGAAAGCTAAAGCTTCATTTCCTCCTCCCTCCTGTTCTGGATTCTGAAACATAAAAATAACCCCTTGTGAGGTTTGGGCTGTAAATTAAACTTCCAAGATGAGAGAGAAGTTTTTTTAAAAAGAAAATGGGAGAGAGAGAGAGAGAGAGAGTGGGGGAAATAAGTATTTGCCACGTGATGGTAAAGCATGAAGTAAGAAAGGTTGAATTACTCTCTCCACTGGTGGCTTCTACTCACCATAAAAACTTCATTTTTAATGGCAAAATAAAATAAGAATTGACCCAACTCTGTCTGTCCTGAATTTATTTTCTTTTCAACTATACAGAGGATCATTTAAACATTTCTCCAAGATACAAAATTTTCTTGTACCCAAAATACTGTACAAAGATCTTTGTGCTGTTCCCAATGACTAAACAGAAAAAAACTCCTAAGATATCCAGACATCCATTCTTTTTAACATTCTTTTCATATTTTTATATTTATATTTTTCAGGATGTTATAAATGTCAGTAAAATCATGCTTCAGCTGTAGCAGGAAGTTTGTCAGCAGTGAGTAAAAACCTATAAAATAATTTGTAGACTCAAGCTGTGTCCTAATTTTTCCTCTTTATTAGTTGTTCTTTTATGTTCAGTTCTGGCTTAAACACAATAATATAGCATTTGGGGAAGAAAATAAAACCCAGCAGCCCAGCACTGGAGGCTAAAATGGAAAAGATTTCCACAGCTTCCATGTATTTTCCTTTGGTGCTCAAGTATGTTGGTACAAAGGATAACCAAACACTACAAAACACCAGCATGCTGAAAGTGATGAACTTGGCGTCATTGAAACTATCAGGAAGCTTTCTGGCAAGGAAAGCAACAGAGAAGCTCACAAAAGCCAGAAAACCCAAATAGCCCAAGGAAAAATAAAACATAGCCATAGAACCTTCATTACATTCTAGGATGATTTCTGTAGCCATTGTGCTTGTGTCCATGGCTGGGAAAGGGGGAGCAGTAGTCAACCAAACAATACAAATCCCTGCTTGAATAAGGGAGCACAGAAGCACAATACAGCAGGACACTCTTTTCCCCACCAATTTCCTCATGTTGCTTCCTGGCCTGGTGGCCATGAAAGCTAAGATGACTGTGATGGTTTTTGCCAGCACACAAGATACAGCCACTGAGAAGATGATACTGAAAGCCACTTGGCGAAGGAGACATGTTATCTTCTCAGGCTTACCGATGAATAGTAAGGGACAAAGGAAGCAGAGTAGAAGAGAAGCAAGGAGAGTGTAGGTCAAACTCCGGTTATTGGTTTTCACAATGGGAGTATTCTGGTAATTTATAAATGTTCCTAGAACCAATGCAGTCGTTAAAGAAAATAGAAGTGCAAAAAAGGCTAAAGCTATGCCCAAAGGCTCCTCGTAAGTTAGGAACGTTACTACTTTAGGGATACATTGGTTATGTTTTTCATTTGGGTACTGCTCTTCTGGACATGCAGTACAAGAAATTGTATCTGTGAAAAGAAGAGATCTAGTTTTATTTCTGTTTTTTGTTAAATTCTTGTTCTTCATTCTAATTCTTGTCTTCAGTTTTACAATGAATTTTCAGGTAACCATGAATAATGGTATTTTAAAATGTCCTTGCATATTTATGTCTGACATACACATAACTAGATCTGATTTTTGCTTACTTGACTAAAATTAAGCAACTGCTCTTCTAAAGGACAATATACATTGGATTCATGATATCTATCGAGTTATTATTATTTATTATTTACAGTATTTCTATACCGCTTTTCTCACCCCTAGGGGGACTCAAAGCGGTTTACACATAATTGGCAAAACTTCAATGCCATACATTGGACACTCCATAACAACCGCAATAATAAAACCACAATTAAACATACATCATAATTAGACAGTACATAAGCAATCATTAAAACAATAAATAATAAAAACAGTCTCGTCAGTCGTATTGTCATTCTAGTCCATGTCCATTAAACTCTCCAAACATCTACTGTCCGAAGGCCTGGTCTCAAAGCCATGATTTTAATTTCTTTCTAAAAGCCAGGAGGGAGAGAGCAGATCTTACTTTATTTGGGAGTGTGTTCCATAGGCGAGGGACTACTGCCGAGAAGGCCCTGTCTCTCGTCCCTGCCAGATGCATTTGCGCAATTGACGGGAGCGAGAGCAGGGCCTCCTCGGATGATCTTAGATTACGAGATGCGACGTAGGGGTGGATGCGTTCGGAGTTACTGGGGATAATCTATCAGTGCTCAAGTTCCATTCTATAAAATGACTAGCTGTACCCTGCCATGCATTGCTGTGGCCTATAGTAAATCTTTTCAAAGTAGAGGTAGATATCTGGAGTATTATGAAAGAGAGGTACCTACCTATTCCTTCCCCCTTTTTCTCCCCCTTTCTCTCCTTTCTTCCTTCTCTACCTCTTTCTTTCTTTCTTTCTTTCTTTCTTTCTTTCTTTCTTTCTTTCTTTCTTTCCTTCTTTCGCTCCTTGGTTTCATCCTTCTCTCTTTCCTTCATTCCCTCCCCCTTTCTTCCTTTGCCTCCTTTCTTCCCTCCCTGTTTCCTTCCTTCTTTCATTTTTTATTTCCTTTTCTCCTTCCTTCTTTACCTCTTTCCTGCCTTTCCTTTTATTTTTCTTTCCTTTCTACTTTCTTTCTTCCTTCCTTCGGTACCTCTTTCTTTCCTGCCTTCCCTCCTTCCTTTCTTCCTTCCCATTGCTTACCAAACCCTTCTCGTGCTTTATGTTGGGTCTTGGGAGTCCTACCTCCCCTTTCCCTGCCATGCGTTGCTGTGGCCCACCTTACCTCCCTCTTTCTCTCCTTCTTTCCCTCATTCCCTTTTCTTCTTTCCTTCTCTCCTTCCTTCCTTCTCTTCCTCTTTCCTTCTTCCTTTTTTCTTTTCCTTCCCTTTCTGTTTCTTCCTTCTCTGCCTCTTTCCTTTCTTCCTTCCTTTGGTTTTTGTTTCCATTCTTCCTTTTTTCTGTCCTTCCTTCTCCCCTCTTTCTCTTTCATTCTCTTCTTCCTTCGATCCTTGTTCCTTCCTTTTCTTTCCTTATCTCCTTCCTTCTTTCTCTACCCATTTCTTTCCATCCCTCTTCATTTCCTCTTTCTCTCTTTTCTTCCTTCTCTACCTCTTTCCTTCTTTCCTTCACTCTTTGCTTCCATGTTTCCTTCCTTCCTTCGATGTTTTTCCTCTTCCTTGATTGGGCCCGCCGCGGGGAAGGAAGGGAGCATGTCTTACCAGAGGGGGTGGCAGGAGGAGGATTGAGTGAGGGAGGGAAGGGGTGGGGGAAGGAAGGGGGCGTGTCTTACCGGAGGGGGGTGGGAGGAGGAGGATTGAGTGAGGGAGGGAAGGGGTGGGGGAAGAAGGAAGGGGGCGTGTCTTACCGGAGGGGGGTGGGAGGAGGAGGATTGAGTGAGGGAGGGAAGGGGTGGGGGAAGAAGGAAGGGGGCGTGTCTTACCGGAGGGGGGTGGGAGGAGGAGGATTGAGTGAGGGAGGGAAGGGGTGGGGGAAGAAGGAAGGGGGCGTGTCTTACCGGAGGGGGGTGGGAGGAGGAGGATTGAGTGAGGGAGGGAAGGGGTGGGGGAAGAAGGAAGGGGGTTTTACCGGAGGGGGGTGGGAGGAGGAGGATTGAGCGAGGGAGGGAAGGGGTGGGGGAAGAAGGAAGGGGGCGTGTCTTACCGGAGGGGGGTGGGAGGAGGAGGATTGAGTGAGGGAGGGAAGGGGTGGGGGAAGAAGGAAGGGGGAGTGTCTTACCGGAGGGTTGGGCTGGGTTAGATGAAGGAGGGGGAGGAGGGATGGTTTTGACAGGGCGGGAAACGGCGCGGCGGGAGGATGGGGGCGTGGCTTGCGCAGAGGGAGCGTTGGCCAGCAGGCCATGTGCACGCACCAGGGAAGTTGACTCTTGCGCATGCTCAGTTGTTTTGTCATTTTGTGAGTGTGTTGTTGTGTTGTTTTTTATTTTGATTCAATATGTTTGTACCTTGTGGGTTGAGGTAGGTGCATGGGAATTTTGGTTAATTTTCGTTGGGGTTTTTTTGAGTTTTGCTGTCCCGTTCGACGCCCCTTTCAGATTTATATATATAGATGTAATAAGATAGTATCCCCTATATAAAATAAGATAATCAAGTTCTTCTTTTGATTTTTAAAAATATTTTGAAGCTGTGGACAGTTGAATCCATGACTGCAGACTGTAGATGCAGAGGACCAGCCGTATATTGAAAAGTTATAGTTTAAGTTAACTATTCATGTATAAGAATTATCATAGGAATGTTTTCAGATGAATGTACAGTAACTAGGGGGAAACAGGCAAGTTTAGCTATTTTTATCTGAATTAAGGCTGAATGCTGTGAAAGCCACCCACTGCATGGCTATCAGCCTCCCCCGAGTAGACTCAAATCTAGGAAAAGTTTCAGGAGAACCACCACTCCATTTAATGTTCCCCCAGCAAAAGCAAGAGTATCCCTATGGGCATCTAAACCAGGAAATCCCATTTGGATGGTCCCCCCCTAGAGTCTGCCTCTTGGGGCATACCAAGAATCATCAACCTGGAAGTCCCTGAACAGACTCAGAAGTGGAGCGGGCAGATCAAAAGACAATTTGGCAAAATGGCACTACCGAAAAGAATCCTCCACCTTATGTGACTGTGGCGCAAAACAGACAACTCTGCATCTGTACGCTTGTCCACTATGCCCTACCTCATGTACAAAGGAAGATTTGTTGGAGGCTACAGACAAAGCAGTTGCTGTTGCCAGTTTCTGGTCAAAAGATATTTAGCCACTTGTGCTCCTTCTATTTTTATCAATTTTATGCTAATTTATGCAATGCTTTTGGTATGAAATGAATAAATAGATCTGAATTCACAAGGTACATTCTCTAATGTGCAGTAGGCTTAATTACTTATTGCACTACCTATTCATAGGCATTCTACCTGTCTCCTGAGATATTTTCCCATTTAGACATGGAACACAACCATAGCAGCAAAATGGCTCCCCTTCTTTCTTTTCCTTCTGATAACCAGGGTGGCATCGGTCGTTACAAAGAGAAAGGGGAGTCACCTATCAAAGGGATATAAAGCAAAAAATTGCAGATAGAAACATCACTTAGATAAGATCATTTACAGCAAGAGGCATCACAGGTTTTAAAATATCAGAGGTCTGTAAATTCCTACATTTTTTAAGCAACAAGCAATTTTTTCACCTTGTGCTGAAAAGACCCAAGGTAGATGCCAACATCAGTCTATGTCTATTTCAAAGTGACAGCTCTATCCACGAAAAACTCTACAAAAATAATTTGCAACACATAATTTTCTGGGAGGCTAGACAATATTCTTAAATATAGCCAATATATGTCAGAAGGTGTAGTATATGTATGTGCAATTGACACTTGGAATGGCCTCAGATCACGATTTTGGATTACATGATTTTAATGTTTATATTAATATGCTTTAATTCTATGCCTTAATGTCTGAACATTGCTTATGTTTTATGGATTAATGTGGTTTTAATTGTTTAACTCACAGTTATATGTTATTGTTTGATTTTATGTTTTGGTTTTTCATATGTATGTTGGCATGAAATTTTGCCATGACATTGCTGGAAACTGTTTTGAGTCCCCCCAGGGGTGTGAAAAATGGTATAGAAATACAGTAAGTAAGTAAGTAAATATTTCAAGTAACAGTGCACAGATATAAGCTGAAAATGAATATCCCATATCAATATTGACATTATTTTACAAATGTGCTTTCATTAATATGTACTTGTGCAAAATTGTATTATGGAAGACTCTACCAACATCTCACCTGGTTATAGATTCTGGGCCACATGACTTCCTTGGCAATACTGAACACATCTCCTGATGGATCCCAAGGATTCATCCTTCCAACTTTCACTCTGACAAAGGATTTATTAGGGAAAGTAATCAAATTTGTAATGTCAAACCCCATTGTTATTTCCCCTTTCTCATTTAAAAACACTGTTTCTCCTGCACTGTTGTTAAATGGGAGATTCCTCAAAATAGAATGGAGCTAAGTGGGAAAGGAAACAACAAAAAATAAATTATGATTGTACTTTTAGATAGATTTTAAAACAGCTGTGCTTTGTCAATTTTCCTTAAAATAAGTTTCAGTTATTGGGAAAATACAAGTCAAATGAAGACTGCTTTGGAGTAATGTCAAAAACTCAATGAAAGAGTGCTTCTTGAATCATATATCATAGAATCGTTAAGTTGGAAGAGACCTCATGGGCCATCCAGTCCAGAGACAGTCCTAGGTAATTTTCAACGGTAAGCAAATAGTATTTGTCCCCCGCCCCAACCGATCACTGATATATATTTTCTGTTCGTCGTGGGAGTTCTGTGTGCCATATTTGGTTCAATTCCATCATTGATGGAGTTCAGAATGCTCTTTGATTGTAGGTGAACTATACATCCCAGTAACTAAAACTCGCATATGTCAAGGTCTATTTTCCCCCAAGAGCATCTCAAGAGTGCCCCTGGGCAAAATCAACTATACTGAAAATGCTTACTTTACGTAATGGGTTGAGCCGCCCCTGATCCAGTCCAACTCCCTGCCTTGTTCTTATGCTATAGGTGAAAACTCTCTAAGATATGGTGATTCTATGGTAGGTTGTCTGAATATATATAACGTATCCTTTCAACAATGAGAGACTGTGTAAATATTGGATTTCTGTGAGTTTTTCAGGCTGTATGGCCATGTTCAAGCAGTGTAAATGTTCTTCATACCCACATTTCCAAAGCAGAAAATTTGGATGCCATGGACTTATATTCAAATTTCTGTTTGCTCTCCTCGTAAGTATCTGAGTGAAATTTCCCTGACTGTTGTGTTGGAGACCTATGAGCAGCTTGTGCTCCATTTGGCCATATCCCAATTCTTCTATGTGTTCTTATATTGTTTTTTTTTCCAAATAAGCAAAAGATTTTATAGGTTGTTACCTTCCATGGTTGCATGTTCTCGTGTTCCAGTTTCCCTGTGGACATAATTATTCTGGATGTGTACATGGATGAGTACATGGTATGAACAGCATTAGCCAAAGCATACACGGCATTGTAGATGCTATAGCTGTGGCTTGTTATACTCATTTCAAAGAATGGTCCAGGAAGGCTCTCCAACCTCTCTTCTCCAGTACAGGTCTCCCCATTAAAATCAAGATTTGTCATTGAACAGCTAAATGCCTGCTCCCAGAATTCTTGAATGAAACCATCATCCTTGGCTAAATGGGGCCTTATATTATGAAGAAAATCTTGGAATCCTGGTACTTCCTGCGAGTGTGCTGTGAAGGCTAGAGTCCCATGGAAAATATCTATATTCCAATCTCTGTGCATGGAGACTGCTATCAAATCTAGCTGGGAAGTCATAATCCATACTTTATAAAATGTTTTGTCATAATCAGATTCTCCTCCATGTAGCAGCAATTTGAAAATTAGCATTGTTTCAGTATCTCCACAGACAACAATAGCATGGGCATTACTTTCCATAACATCTACAAAAGTTTTGTTCCATGTCGGTCCTCCGTGTAATAACTCATCAAAGTAGAGTAATCTGGACATTTTCTTGGTGAAGGCAGGACAGATACCATAATCAAGAAACATTGGTATTATGTTCTTCAGAAAGGATTCTCCACTATCATTATCTATAGTCATGAGGCCCACCCATATCCACATGAAATGTAGAAGCAGCTGAACAATCCCCATGTACTGATGGACATCAGATGGAACCATCTTCTATAGATAAGAGAGGTAGGACTCACTTCTCAGCACAGGTGCACGATCATCATAGCCAAACTAATAATTAAGAAAAAATGACAACTAATTTTCAAATAAACGGGAAGTTTAGAGGTGTGTTCATTGGAATTTTAGAATAATCATCATCATCATCATCATCATCATCATCATCATCATCATCATCATCTTTATTTATACCCTGCCACCATCTTCCCAGAGGGGACTCAGAGTGGCTCACACGAGGCCAAGCCTGGTAATACATTACAGCAAAATAAATACAGAATAGCAAAAACAACATCACAATAAAATAAGTAAAACATACAGGTAAAATAAAACAGTGCAAAATAACAAAGTGAAAAATCAAACATAGTGGGTGGGCCAAATGCACGACATAAAATGATAAAACTCTGGATGAGATAACAATGAAAAAGGTATATTTATAAAGGAGGAGCTTGTAGGGAATTATAGAACATTTATTTTAATTGTTTTGTCAACATCTTGTTTCAGATAAATTAGATGTACCAGGTTGGACAGTCTGATCCCTTTTAATATGTTCTTTAAAAAGTGAAGGTGCTACTGGAAGGGTCTACAGAAACAGGAAATGTATAAAGAGAGAAATAGAATTTTGAAAGACCTTCAAGCTTGACACCAATGCAATATTTTGTATGAATTGCTGCAGTAAGTCTTGTTAGCAACAACATATTTGAATTTGAACCAGGAAAATAAGACTGACTGTAAATAGAAGGTCAACTGCTGTCCTCAACTTTTTGCCTTGTTTTTTTTACTCGTGTTCTATTTTGAAATGGTCATATGACTGGTCAAATAAATAAATAAATAAATAAATAAATTATCATATTTGAATTGTATTTCTGAAATTGATCGCTCTTTGGTATTGAAGGTGAAAGATTTTGAGAAACTACAATCTCATGATCCCATAGCATTCAGCCATGGTGGTCAAAGTTGTGCCAAAATGATTTAATTCTACAGTATAGATGCACTGTTAGAGTACCAGGTGTTCTAAGCTTTCATTCTATGTTGAAGATTAACTGACACAATGAGCAGGGGACCAGGGAAGCATCAGTGTTTATAGAACTTCAATATGTTCCATCTGAACACTCATTAATGAGTAAAATGCAGAGAGAAGGGCAAGAAAAGGAAGGAAGGAAGGAAGGAAGGAAGGAAGGAAGGAAGGAAGGAAGGAATTGTTACAACACAGATCTGAGAATTCCATGTTCCAGTAGCTCATCCCACCTGTGGTAGTTTGTAGATGTCCAAAATATCAGACAAATAGCGAGATGTTTCAGAGCCCAATCCTCCAACAACAGCTATGAGGTTGTCCTTGATTCCACATTTGTAGTTAGGGACAAATATATATTGTGTGAAGAAAAATTCCATTGCAATATGATATATTCTATTTGGACTGAAGCAGCTCTCAGAGATGTGCAATCCCAAAGACACATTGGGCAAGATCTGGGGGTTTTCATTAATTTCATTCATAGCAAATGCCATGGCAAGGACTTGTTGATAATTCTTTGTAACTATCCTAGGACAAAAGTTAGAAAGATCATTTGTACCTTCAGAACTCTCTAAATCCATCTATACCAATACATATAATTAAGGCAAACTTAGAGAAACACCAAGAACTAGAAATAAATACAAGACAATAGTTCCTGTGCATTGTTTTGATTTTTATCATGTATTATCTCATGTCATGTTCTGCATTCAAAACTTTGGTGATATTGGAGTAAACATTATGTCAATTTATCCAGTATTTACTTAGTATTCAAAAGGCTTTTTTTCACAAAGAAACAGAATATACATACTGAAATCAAATGATTTGAAAAATGAATGTACTGTAAAGTTATGGGCTCCCATTTGGTTGGGAGCCAGTATGATGCAGTGGTTTGACCATTATTAGGATTTTGGGGACCACAGTCTGATTCCTCACTCAGCCATGGAAGCCCACTTGGTGACCTTGTGTCAGTTTTATAATTTGAGTCCCAGAAAAACTCTATGATGGGTTCACCTTGGAGTTGTAATAAGTTAGAAATGCATGGAAAGCACAAAGCAACAATATCAATACCTGTTTGGTTAGATTTAAGAGGAGACAACACAAATTCAAGCTATCAGGGTTTATTATGTCACCAGTATCCGAATGGACAAACCTACAATTTGAATATGCTGTAAAAAAATGGATGATAGGATAGTGTTCATGTTCTACCTACAGATTTCTCATTAGTTTCATTTTGGGAACTCTGGGAAGGGAATGATGGACTACATAAGTCATTATTCTGATTCAACATATTATTATTACTATTACTATTATTAGCAGCAGCAGCATGTTTGGCCATGAACCATGCTTATTTATTTATTTACTTACTCAGAGCAGCCTTAATTATTATTATTTATTTATTTACAGTTCTTATATTCCGCCCTTCTCACCCCGCAGGGGACTCAGGGCGGATTACAGTAAACACATATATGGCAAACATTCAATGCCAGTTTGACAAACGTTTAACAGACAAATACACCGAGGCTATTTAACTTTTTTCTGGCCGCCAGGGGAGCTGCTGCTTTTCATCGTCCATCAACGACACTGATGAAGTTCTTCCGCATTCCACATTCCCCGGAGTACTCTTTCTTTATGGCCTCATAAATTAGTTAAATTTAGCCTCCCACACAAGGTGGTACCTTATTTTCCTACTTGACAGATGCAACTGTCTTTCGGGTTGCAAAGGTCGACAACAGGCTACACAATTGGTTGGAAACCCACTCCAACCCGGGCTGGCTTCGAACTCATGACCTTTTGGTCAGAGTGATCTTAATGCAGCTGACACTCAGCCAGCTGCGCCACAATCCTGGTGCGAAATAAGCAGTGATTCATTGCAATAAACAAATATACAATGAAATAAACAGTTACATTAAAACCAAAAACATTAAGCAACACAATTTGAAACCTGTTATTAAAATCATATCATCCAAAATCATGGCCCAAGGCCATTCCATTTGTCATATCACTATTCCTTATTCTGGGTTGTTGTAGATTTTTTGGACTGTATGACCATGTTCTAGAAGCATATTCTCCTGACGTTTTGCCTGCATCTTTGGCAGGCATCCTCAGAAGTTGTGAGGTCACAACCTCTGAGGATGCCTGCCATAGATGCAGGTGAAACGTCAGGAGAGAATGCTTCTAGAACATGGCGATATAGCCTGAAAAACTTAGAACAACCCAGTGATTCCAGCTACGACAGCCTTCGACAATACATTCCTTATTCTCTTATTGCACTAAAAACTTGCTACCCAAAAGCTTGGTCCCACAACCATGTTTTTACTTTCTTCCTGAATGTCAGGAGGGAGGGGAATTCCATAGCCAAGGGTCCACCACTGAGAAGGCCCTGTCTCTCGTCCCCATGAATCGCGCTTGCGAAAGAAATGGGACCGAGAGCAGGGCCTCCCCAGAAGATCTTAATCTCCGAAGTAGATCATAGAGGGAGATATGTTTGGACAGGTAAGCTGGGCCAGAACTATTTAGGGCTTTATAGGCTAAAGCCTGCACTTTGAATTGTGCTCGGTAGCAGACTGGCATGTTCATGGGGAAGAAGTGAATGTAGACAGAAGGAATGCAAAGGCAGATTTGTAAAAGATAGTGCCAAGAGTAGTAATTTGAGACTTATATCTTCAAATAATAATTGTTTTGGAAGAAACAGCTGTAATCATATCAGAAGTGGGGACATATTTGTATGGTAATATAATATGTTCAAAATATTAAAAATACAAAAATTGGTAATAGCCAAACTAAAGCTGAAAGAACAGAGATGTGTAATTAAAAAACAGTGCAAGTTAAATGAACAGTTGCAAATAAAAGAATCAAACTTAACTCAATGTAGTAGCAAAACATTTAAAATACATTTTAGATTACTGTTTCAAGAGATGAATACTGATCCATGAGCAAAATTAAGTAAAGCCAGATTTACTTCCAAGCAGTAATGTGAAATATTAGAATGCCAATATCTTGAAATGGCTATACTGTAATAAAAAGTTGCTTACATGGGGAAATTGCCATGGTGAGAGGGATAGTGAGAGAAGGAATATTGATCCAGAAATACAGCCATCTGAGAGGCAGTCCCACCAATCATAAGATCCCCTGTCTTGTAATATTTATGAAGAGTATGAATTGCGTTGAGAATGCGGCATCTAGCATAACGCCTGTGAAGTTCGGAGTGAGGGATCTGCATCAAGAAGAGGAAGGTTCCCAACAGCATCATCTTGTTTATGATGCACTTCTGCCCATGATGCACAGGTCCAATGCTCTTCTTACACCTGTTGGAATAGAACTGTTCTAATTAAAACAACTTATCTGAAAAGACAGCAGATTTACTGGTGCACTTATGTGAAATTTACCATGAAATTGAGTCCTTGAGCAGTTCATTGTTGGATTCAGTTCCCCATGTCAAACAGGAACCTTTAAACATGTTGATCACTATTTAGTATTTGTTATGCTTTTTCAGTGTAGCTGCTCACAAACCACATGGGGCATTGGTTTAATGGATAATTCCAGGGAGCGCCATCCTCAAAATCTATAGGGGACTTTCTCTGTGAGAATTGCAGAGCATAATATATTTGTGAATAGCAAGATGCATAATAATAATGGTTATGTCAGGGCAGTTTTAAAAAAAATGTTGCAGAAGAAGATAGTTATTTGTGCAGTACCACTTTGAGGTCACTCAACTGAGCTCTGGCCCCTCCACCCAGCCAATTTTTGCCATGAAAAATATGAGGTTTTCAATTGTCTGTAAGGTAAAGGTTTTCCCCTGACATTAAGTCCAGTTGTGTCCGACTCTGAGGGTTGGTGCTCATCTCCATTTCTAAGCCGAAGAGCCGGCGTTGTCCATAGACACCTCCAAGGTCATGTGGCTGGCATGACTGCATGGAGTGCCATTACCTTCCCGCTGGAGTGGTACCTATTGATCTACTCACCGTTGTATGTTTTTGAACTACTAGGTTGGCAGAAGTTGGGGCTAACAGTGGGAGCTCACCCTGCTTCACCGATTCAAACCTGTTACCTTTCGGTCAGCATGTTCAGCAGCTCAGTGGTTTAACCCACTGCACCACCTACACAACCAAAAGTAGAACTACGTACCTTCTACCATCACTGTGTTTTTGAGGGTGGAGAAGATAACTGCATCTTCTCTTACTATTATGTGAATGACACCTGGAAACACCCTTGTGACCAGTCAGTTGACATATCTATAGTGATGCTTTATACAGGGGCCAATCTGGAGTGTTGAATTCTGGATGATCAGCTTTTGGATGGTTTTGACTACCAGTACCCAACTACATAGTCAAGGAGTTATGACCATCCTGTGGAACCAAACACTAACCTTACCACCCTTTTGCCATACTCTTCATAGTGATGGTCAGCAAATGCAACATGGCTAGTGTTCATTGCTTGTCTTCTGGAATGATGTGTTAGCAGCTGGAATGATGTGGAAAATGGAAGGGGGAGAGGAGGAATCAGGGCCCCCATTCGTCCTCCCTTCTCCAATCACCCTTGTGCCCTGGCCAGCAGCACTGCAAGAGACAAGTGATGGATATCAACCATCTCATGCCCACTGGACACTACTATGATGAGATTGTGAGAGGACAATGAGTGCCACCCCAATATGGGGTAATATGGGATTGCCACGTAAAGAGTTGTGGCCAGTCCTGTTTCTATTCTGCTTTGGTCAGACCTCACCTGGAATACTGTCTCCACTTCTGGGCATGACAGTTCGATAAGGATATTGTCAAGCTGGATTGTGTCCAGAGAAAAATGACCAAAAAGGTCAAAGGTCTGAAAGCCATGTCCTAATAGGAATGGTTTGGGGATCTAAATATGTTTAGTTTGGAAAAAAGGTTGAGAGGGAAGGAAAATGTTATCCATATTTAAATATTTTAAAGGATGTCATATTGTTTTCTGCTACTTCAGCGACTAATGTATGTAACAATTAATTTAAACTATTGGAAAAGTGATTCCTCTTAAATATTAATAAGAACTTTCTGATGGCAAGAACTGTTCAACAGTGGATTATGTTGCTTCAGCCTGCAGAGGGGTTTCCTTTTTTTAGGTTTTAAATAGAGTCTGGATGCCCATCTGCCTGGAATACTTTGACTGTGTCTTCCTAAAAGGCAGGCAACTTGACTAGATAGCCCTTACAGTCTCTTCCAACTCTATGATTCTATGCTTCTATAGCTTCCAGACCTTTCCATATTTTATTAAGATTAAGTATCTGTTCTCTACTATCAGGGGAGCATGTTTACCACTATAGTCACACTCCAATAGCAAAAGACAAACTACACTGAGATTATGACTTTATTGAAATGTATCAAAGATCACCCATTTATTGAAAGAAGGCATTAAAATCATATTATTTATTAAATCAGACCAGATTTTGTTTTATATCAGAAGTGACTTGAGGACACTGCAAGTCGCTTCTGATGTGGGAGAATTGACCAACTACAAGGATGTTGCCCAGGGGGCACCCAGATGTTTTACCATCCTGTGGGAGGCTTTGTGATGGAATGAAAATCACATGTAGTTCACGTCTTTACCAATCCACACACTGTCTTGCTTGAGAAAAGATATGCCATGCAGAAGATCAGTGAAGAATAAGGTGTTTACTCTTTGTTATGCAGAGTAACATGTGAACAGTTGCACTGACTCACACAATGTCCTTTGAGAGAGATTCAAATGGTCCTTGGGTGTTCATGTGAAGGGTCTCCTTCCAGCAGCCAAGAAGCAAAAATACAAAACTGTCTTGGCAAGCTTCCTGCACAGAAAACTTAAACATTAGGGCTGGGCGGTTTCGTTCGTTAATTTCGTAATTCGTTATTGATTCGTATTTAAATTAGCTTACGATCCGATATTGAGCCATGCAGGAGCAACTAAAAATCGAAACGAATTTTTCAATTTATTTCGTAATTGTTTCGTAATTGTTTCGAAATCGTTTTGAAATTGTTTCGTTATTATTTCCGTATGTCTGTTGCAAGTTTTATAGTTGTTGTTTGTTTTATCAGTGATAAAAAAATAAATTATCACACCAACAGTCAACAACAGAGGGAGAGGGAAGCTTCAGAAGTTCCCCCTGTCCCATTTGGAGGTTTTTTTAGCGTATTGCGCAATCCCGTCCGCCATTAACGAATCAATTCGAAATTTACGAAATTTCGTAAATAACGAAATTTTTTAAAGAAAAATTCGGAATTCTTTTAAAAAACAAAACGCAATGGACTCCCTAAAAACGAAACGAGTTTAGAAACAAATTTTTCCGTTGTTACCCAGCCCTATTAAACATGTAATGGTTGCCAAAACTCCCAGGCTCAGCTAGCCTCTGGGTATGCTCCAACCAATCAGCTTAGTGCTTAGCATTTTTCAGTTAACACACACACTAACTGATTTTTACATGCTCCAACAGGCTTCTCCCATGTCCCCGCAAGGTAAGCTGGGGCTGACAGAAGGGGGCTCACCCTGCTCCCTGGATTCGAACCGCAGACCTTTCAGTCAGCAGTCCTACCAGCAGTCTTGTGTCACAGGGGGCTCCTATCAGACTACTTAGGATTGAGCGACAGCAACACAGTTCCTCTTAGTGACACTAGGTCTACCAAAATTATTATAAAGTAGTATTTATAGATGCTTTTGAACTGTGGTGTTGGAGGAAAGTTCTGAGAGTGCCTTGGACTGCGAGAAGATGCAACCAGTCCATCCTCCAGGAAATAAAGCCCGACTGCTCATTGGAGGGAAGGATACTAGAGACAAAGTTGAAGTACTTTGGCCACATCATGAGGAGACAGCAAAGCCTAGAGAAGACAATTATACTGGGGAAAGTGGAAGGCAAAAGGAAGAGGGGCCGACCAAGGGCAAGATGGATGGATGGCATCCTTGAAGTGACTGGACTAACCTTGAAGGAGCTGGGTGTGGTGATGGCTGACAGGGAGCTCTGGCATGGGCTGGTCCATGAGGTCACAAAGAGTTGGAGATGACTGAACGAATGAACAGCAGCAATATTTATTCATCTAAAAAACAAAATAAAACACCCCAACAAGCTTTTTAGAGATGTATAAACTACCAAAACAAATAACTACATGCTGTCCACTACAACTAAGTGTTCATTCAAAAGAATAAAAATAGATTTCACTAAGGGAGGTGTACTTTTCTTTTGACGAGCTGTTCTTTCTTATTCAGCTCAGGCCTCAGGACAATAATGTAGCATTTGGGGAAGAAGATGAAACTCAGCAAACCACCACTGGAAGTTAAGATAGAAAAGATCTCCACAGCTACCACATATTTCCCCTTCGTGCTGAGATAGACTGGAGTAAAGGATAACCACACACAGCAAAAGAGGAGCATACTGAAAGTGATGAATTTAGCTTCATTGAAATTGTTGGGTAACTTCCTGACTAGAAAGGCTATAGTAAAACTGGCAATGGCCAGGAAGACCATGTAACTCAAAACACAGTAAAACATGGTAACAGAGCCTTCATTGCATTCCAATACAATTTTTTCATCTACTGAGTGCATGTCCAGATCAGGGAATGGGGGATCAGTTGCCAGCCACACAGCACACACGCCTGTTTGAATTAAGGAACAGGACAGAATAATGGCATTGGCCAGTTTTTTACGTATCCACTTTGTTAATCTGGATCCTGGTTTGGTTGCCATAAATGCTAAGAGCACTGTGAGATTTTTTGCCAATACACAAGAAATCGCAACTGAGAAGACAATGCCAAAAGCAGCTTGTCGGAGGAGGCAGGTCATCTTCTTAGGCTGGCCAATGAATAGCAATGCAGAAAGGAAACACAGAAAAAGGCAGAAGAGAAGGTTGTAGGTGAGCTTCTCGTTGCTGGCTTTGACAATGGGAGTGCTACGGTGTTTCATAAATATCCCAAACACCAGAATTGTCATCAACAGAAAGGAAAGAGTCAAAGAGGTTAAACCAATCCCCAATGGTTCCTCAAAGGATAAGAAGGTCACTACTTTGGGAATGCAAGCATTCCTGTATTTGTTTGGATAGTGATCCTCGTGGCATTGAAAGCAGTCGTTCATATCTGAAAAATAAAAGTTGCTTTATTACTTAATGAAACTTATTACATGGTCAATTAATTTCAATGTAAAACTCAATAGCTGTGATTTCTTCAGTTTCTGAATCTACATCAACATCTGGTGAGATTGATAACCACGCAGTAGAGATGCCCACAAGGAGCCCTCAGTGGCGTAGTGGGTTAAAGTCTAGTCGTGTTCAACTCTGGGGTGCTCATCCCCATTTCTAAGCCGAAGAGCCGGCACTGTCCACAGACACTTCCAAGGTCATGTAGGTGGAATGACTGCATGGAGTACCATTACCTTCCCGCCGAAGCAGTATCTATTGATCTACTCACATTTGCATGTTTTTGAACTGCTAGGTTGGCAGAAGCTAGGGCTAACAGCAGGAGCTCACCCCATTCCCTGAATTCGAACCACTGACCATTTGGTCAGCAAATTCAGTAGCTCAGTGGTTTTAACCTGACTTGCCACCAGGGGCTCACAAATAATTGAGTATGTTGCCTAAAAACTGCTCTTACAATAACAACACCAACAACCCCTCATTCCATGTCTTCTTCAGAAACTTTTCAGAGGGAAGATTTGAATCTTGTTAAGATTTTAATGCTGTTAAGATATACAACTATCCTTGTAAATCATTTCATTTATTTCTCCATTTTTTTCTTTTTTTAAAAAGCTTGCACCATCTACTGAATTGTGGGAAACCCAATCAACTCACTGCTCTGGGGATATAGTATCAGCAATCAGTCAATCAAATGTATAGCTGTTCATTGTTTTTCATTGTTTTTCTCTTAGTTTGAAGGAATCTTTTCGGACCTCTTCAATGTGTCTCCCCACTTTTTTTGGTCAATTAATCTAAATAACATGGAGTCATAAGACATATGTCTCCCACCCCATACTAATTCCATATCATTTGTGTGCATGTTGAAAGGAACCACTACCATCTATGGAGACCTATCAGGACTCATCTGTTTATTTCCCTCTGTTGTAACAACTGTCTCTTTCAACAATCAGGGACATCTAATCGTCTCTCAACAAAAGATTGCTCCAGGCACTTCCAGGCTATCAAATGCTAATCAAGGTGGTCAGTTGAAACATTCACACCTAGCTCCAGCAGACAAGAGTCCTTTGTCCCATCCTGGTCTTTCCACAGATATATAAACCCATTTTTCTAGTTCCAACAGACCTCATTACCTCTGAGGATGCTTGCCATAGATGCAGGCGAAACGTCAGGAGAGAATGCCTCTAGAACATGGCCATATAGCCCGAAAAAATCTACAACAACCCAACTGTCTCTTTAACTTTGAAAGCTCATCTGGACTGTATTGGAATTATTGCAGGCAGGGGGGATGTTGTAAAGTAAAATTCTCACCAATCTGATCAGAAATCTTTCCTTTTGGACATGGAATGCAATTATAGCAGCAGAAGACCACCCCTTCTTTCTTTTCTTTGTGGTAACCAGAGTGACATTTGTCATTACACACAGAAAGGAGCTGTACCTAATTCACCAATGATAAGAATGCATGAGATTAAGGTTCAGAAAAGAATGTCATACAATGCAGAAATGACCAGCATTTAACCAGTATTGCTGTTTTTAAAATTATTTTCAACTTCGAACACCCTGGATCTTGGTTTGTGGGCAGAAGGACAAAAACGGAGCATTCGGCATTTTCCAGGTGCCATACTACAGGGAAAGAGAGATGCACCTACCTTTGTCATCCTTTCACCTTTGTAGCTACAGCTATGGAACTTCAAAGAGGTCCAAGCCCTTCTTGGGGTACCCCCTCTTTTCCCCTTTCTTTCTCTGATTCATGTGAGCACCTTTGAAAATGTCCATAATGGTGCCCAAGTACAGCTATGAACTTTTTGGAGTCTATGAATCTATGTTGAGGAATTCTTATATATTATGGATGGCACACTTTGGGGATATTATTAACATTTCTACTCAATAGTTACATTCTTAATCTTGATTGCATTCAATTCTTACCAGTTCAATCCCGTTGTCCCACAGGATACCAGATGCATTAATAATTAATCCTTGGCCTACAGGAGCCTTTGGACCTATGCTTCCGACCTTTAAGATGACAAAAGAATGGTTTGGAAGTGTAACCCAGTTTATTACATCAAAATCTGTTATTAGCACACCATACTGGTCAAAGGAAATCTTGTCTCCAGCACTGTTGTTAAAAGAAACGTGCTTCAGAAAACGATGGAGCTGTATAGGGGAGGAAAGATATATGTGGGTTTGTTTAATAAAAAGATGAAAATAGAAGCCAAATCTGTTTCTTAGCTACATACCAGCCTATATCCTGTGTATTCTTATAAATATCACCATGTTTACAGGGTTTAAAATCCCAGCTAAGTCTATTCAACATCTTCCAATATACAATATGTCAAAATTGCCCAGTTGAAATATTCAGGAATAGTCTACTCAGGAGTTTCCCTGGCTCAACTCACAGAATTCACATGGTTGTGTCCCAAAGCCTTTTAAAAGTCTATATGGCTAGCCAGGCTTTCTTTTTTTTTTTCCATGTCAGGAGCAACTTGAGAAACTGCAAGTCGCTTCTGGTGTGAGAGAATTGACGGTATGCAAAAATGTTGCCCGGGGGACCCCCGGATGTTCTGATGTTTTACTGTCCTCGTGGGAGGTTTCTCTCATGTTCCCGCATGGGGAGCTGGAGCTGACAGAGGGAGCTCAACCTGCTCTCCCCAGATTTGAACCACTGACCTGTTGGTCAGCAGTCCTACGGGCACAAGGGTTTAACCCATTGCACCACTGGGGGCTCTTGCTGGCCAGGCTGACAGCACATCAGTACCATAGCCCTGTTCCTATGAGGGCTGCTGCTGCTGTTTCAGAAGCCAGAAGCAGATTCCTGACAGATCTCTGCTAGCAATGTCATTTATGATGAAGTCACAACAGGGCACCTAGCCATGTGATCACTGGAAGCAATATTGACAGCAAGTCTCTGCCATGGAACTGCTTTTGGACAACAAAACAGTGGTGGGTCTTTTGGCAAGTGGATACTATATCATTTCAGATCAAGCTATCCACACATTCTAAACACTGTCATTCTGCAGTTTCCTGGAAACTCTGGAGTAAATGGTGGTGGTGGTGGTTCTTCTTCTTTCTCCTCCTCCTCCTCCTTCTCCTCCTATGGTGGTGGTGGTGGTTCTTCCTCCTCCTCCTCCTGAGTGTATTTTGTGTGGAATGTTTGCAGCAGGTTCAAGGTAACTGTTTTATTTGGCCCATGTATCACAGGGCGAACTACACAAGGTAAAGTACAGAGGGCAGATCATGTATCTTAGAACCTCTCATTCAACACATGAAAAATTATCCTGCTTCAAATCTGCAGAAGGGTTTTCACATAACATAATTCACATAACATAATTCTATCATACTGTTGCTCTCCCCCATTGGACATATCTACACTGCTTGTACCTAAAAGGGAATGTATCTCCTTCTATGAACCATCAAGGAGGCTAAGATCATCCAGGGAGGCCTTGCTCTTGGTCCCACAATCCTCACAAGTATGACTGGTGGGGATGAGGGACAGGGCTTTCTCAGTGGTGGCTCCTTGGATGTGGAACTTCCTCTCCAATGAAATCAGGTCAGCCCCCTCCCTCCTGTCCTTTCAGAAAAAAACTTAAAATATGGTTGTGGGATCAATCATTCAAGCAGTAGATGCAGCAACTAGAATGAAAGTGATTTTATGTGACCAGCAATGGATTGACCTTGGACTATGATTCTGAACTGGGAGAACTTTTAAATGAATGTTTAATAACTTATTTTAACTGTTGCTTGAACTGTAACTATTTATAATTTATGTGCTGGCATAAATTCCCTGTTATGAAGCTGCCTTGAGTTCCCCTTCGGGGGTGAGAAGGATGGGGTACAAATGCGTGCAATAAATAAATAAATAAATAAATTTGGGATAATACCAAGAAAGGCAAATGCCCAGAAGTCCAAATGCCCAGAAGTCCTTGAAGAAACCAACTTCTTTTATGCTAATTGTCTTAACTATGGAGGGATCTCTGGCCACTGAATGTTTGCAACAGCTCTAACCTCGTTAAGGGTACAGCAGAAATCAAATGTTTTACTAAATCATATTCAATTACATCTCTGTGTGTTTGTGTGTATGTGTCATCTGTAAATGTGTGGTAGTTTGTATTGATTAAACTCATGATTTGTCCATATGTGTAAGGTTTGTTAATATTGTAACATGGGTAAGAAATCACGATACTGGTGCAGAATGCAGTACGTCACAGCAAGGCATGTAGCTGGGGGGGGGGGGGCGGCTGGGGGGCTTCAGCCCCCCCCCGAAATTCTCATGGTGGTTCGCGAGAAGGCCTTACTGGTGCATTATTTAAACTGTTATGTTTATTCATATCATGATCTGATCACCATGCTCAATATATCCCATATGCATGGGGGTATTGGGGTAACGATACAAAAGGTTTGCTAGGGTAGACCCTCTTTCACTCAGACTCAGCCCCCCCAAACAAACTCACCCCCCCCCCCCCCCCCCGAAACAAAATCCTGGCTACAGGCCTGGCCACAGCATCCATTGTCTGCCTCTGCCTCACTGCAACAATGGGGTGGAAGCTGGACCATCCAGTGGGGGCAACCTGGTTTGACCCAGCTGGATGACTACCTTTATCTTGGTTGCCTTTTAACCACTGTTGCTGTGGCCATGGAGCTCAAAAGAATTCTTGGTCATCCTTTGGTGTGATTGCTGACATTTGCAAGAGTACACATGCTACTTGTATTAGGAATGGGCCATCTGGCTATCTACCATGCTCAATGGATATAAACAACATGAGAAGGCATGACATTACCTTCCATGGCTCTTGCTTTAGAAGTTTTCTCCTCTGTCCACATCCTCTTCTGGATGGACATGAATACATGATCTGTAGAGCATGGGCAACAGCATAAATAGCATTGTATATTGTGTAGCTATGCCCAGCAATGTGTTTTTTAAAAACAAACCTAAAAAGATCATACTGACTCTCTTCCCCATTCGACATATCTATACTGCTTGTGCCTAAAAGGGAATTTGGGATAACACCAGGAAAGGCATTTGCTGAGAAGTCATTGATGAAATCATCTTCTTTTATGCGATTAGAATATTTTTGAATAAATGGTTGAAATCCTGGTAGTTCATTAGAATGGACAGCAATTGAGAGAGCCCCTTGAAATACTGGTACATCATCTCTCCATTTCCCCATATTACTATAATATTGTAATTCCAGCTGATCTGTCAGGATCCATACTTTACCACTGGACTTGTGCATTGTTTCTTTCATGTCAGACAAACCAATGTACCAAGTGAAAATCAACACAGAATGAGGATCTCCAAAGAAGACAAAAACATTGGCAGAGCTTGTTATGATTCTCTCAGAAACTTGTGCTTTAAATTTTTCCGTGGCTTTATACAAGCCTCTCCCAAAATGAGGGATTGTGTCCAAAAAGGCAAAACAAATGCCATGCTGGGAAAATTCTGGAACCACAACCTTAAGAATCCATTCTAAATTCACACCAACTGAAGTAAACAATCCAATCCATGTCCACTTGAAATGGAGAAGTAACTGGAGAATCCCCTTGTACTGTTGGGCTTCATTTGGGACCATTGGATAGCGGGGAAGTAGTTGATTATCATCCATCATTGCTGAACCATACAAAAGCTAAACATATTTTGGTAATGGAAGGAGAGACAGAATGATTTTCAAAATGAAATACATCCCCTATTGTACTTTTTTTTTTCAACCACAGGCTACAATGTGAGATTATCATGTAACATCATTGTCCATTTTAACTTTAACTCTACATTTTTAATTGCTGCCTTTGACATTTGCCAGTCTTCAAGCCAGCTTGGTGTTAGCTGCTTCGACTTCAGTGGCATTGATCTAGAGTACCCCCACTTCAAATCAGCATTACCATTCTCAATATATGAGTGTGCGGCAATCTGCAACTATGGAATTGTTGCAGATTGCCACCACTTTAACTGCAATGGCTCAATGATTTGAACTCATAGGTGTTGCAGCTTTGCAAGCCTTCTCTGCCAAAGAGTGCTGGTGCCTCGCCAAAATGTGATTCCCATGATTCTTTAAGATTGAGACATAGCAGTTAAATTGAAATCAAGCTGCATTAATTCTGCAGTGCTGATGCACCCTGTGTCCTTAGCCAGACAATTTAAGTAAATATAAATAAAATTTAAATAAATATAAATAAAAATGTAATGTTCATTAGTGGGATTAAAGTAACTCAGAAACTACTGGATGAATTGACACCAAATTTGGATACAATACACCTATCAGGCCAACAAGTGACCATCACTCATAAAAACACTGAAAAACAAAGTGGAAGAGACTCAAAAAGGCAAAAAATAAAAACTGCATTACAACACATGCACAGAACCACATATATGCAAACACACATATATACAACTATATACACACACAAAACATATAAAAATAGACTGGGCCACAGCAATGCGTGGCAAAAGATGGCTAGTAAATTATAAAAAATATGAAGATAATAATAGCTGAGTACTTCCACTAGCAACAACAACAACAACAACTTTATATTTGTACGCCATCTCCTTCTTCCCGAAGGGAGTCGGGGTGGCTTACATGGGAACAAGCTGGATCAACATGGTTAAAATATAGCATATTAAAATATCTAAACAACAACAAAAAACAGAAAAACAACAACATTATAACAAAATATAAAAACAAAACATCAAACCAATAACCCTTAGGATCTTATAATGTTTGTACAGCCTCAGCCTGGACCTATGATATATAGGGCTTTATAGGTCATAACCAGCCCTTTGTGCTTGAAAGCAAACTGACAATCATTGAAATTGCAACCAGCCCATGCAGTTGACTGTCTGAAGCATATGAGTAAAACATAGCGAATGGACACTATCTTGCCTCAGGTTGGATCCTGTACTTAAACCGGTCATAGTGTTCATCTTCTAAAAGTAGATTAGTCAAGCAATGACATCAAAACTGGAAGACAAGGAACAGAGAATAAGAAGTTGTCTTCTTCAACCTTCCAACACAATAGAACCAAAAGCTCTGGAAATCCATCAAGAAACACTGAGTGAAACAAATAGCAATTGAGAAGTTAGGAAGATGCTTCTGGACAGCTCCACAGAATCCAGGGCTGCCCCAGACCAAAATACTTTGGACCAGCCCCAGATTTTGATGAATGTGTTGATGAGTCCTCAGAAGAAAGAAAGCCAATTGATTCTATGCAATACACCAAACGCTAAAGAAAAAACCCACAAAGTGTTACATTTGCATTGCACATATATATCTTACCTGAGGAATCTTATAGATGTCCAGAATATATTTTATTTGTTGGGAAGATTCCAAGTCAAGTCCTTCAACGACCGCAATAAGATTGTCCTCAGTATCACACTTGTAGTTCGGAATAAATCGATTCTTTGGAGAAATTAATCGCATTGCAGCATGGTAACTCCACTTTGTGTTCGCATGGCTATCATAAATATGAAATCCCAGGGAGACGTTGGACAAGATGTTAAGATTCTCATTAATTTCCTTTATGGCAGATACAAAGGCAAGGATGTTTTGGCAATTCCGAGTTGTTACACTGCAATGAGATTTCCGCTGCATGTCACAAATATTTCCTGCCTTTTATAACATTATCCTTGCATAAAATAATTGCAGTGCAATGTGCATCATTTTCATTACTTTAGCAATACAGTGCTCATGTGACATTATTCACGAGAGAAGGTAATGCGGCACAATCACCAAATCCAGTACAAAATACTTCACCAAAGTTAATTCTTTACATTTTAATGCAAGAAAAAGAACCCAAACTTTTCTACTTTCATTGAGTTGGACCATTACTGCTGTCCATCAGGAGGAGTTCTCATTGATCAATCCACCATTAGAAAACTGGTCAACTATAATATTTTTGCAGTATAAGTCTTGGTTGTAAGAAGGAAATTAACAAACTCTGTAGTCACTTTTACACTCCAACCACAATGCTATTAACTTTGCCACTATTAACTAACCACTATGCCAGCACTAACTGCCACTCTGGGGCCAGAGTGAAGAAGGGGAGCCAGGAAGACAGTTCCACCATGTCTCCTGGGTCATCAGTTGGGAGCTGCTCCCCCCAGTAACAATGTAGTAATATATAATACTAATATTGTGCTGTTCTAATAATATAATATATTGTATATACATATAATATTGATAATAATGTTATAATGTAATACAATATAATAATATAAATAATGTGATATATTAATTGTATATTATATATTACATGCAATATTACTAATAATGTTGCAATATAGTGGTATAGTACAATGTAGTAATATATAATACTAACATTGTGCTATGCTAATACTTATATTGTATGTACATATAATATTGATCATAATATTGTAATACAATATAATACTAATAATAATACAATATAATATAATAATTATTATATATATTTATATTACATGTAATATTACTAATAATATTGCAGTATAGTGGTATAGTACAATATAGTAATATATAATACTAATTTTGTGCCATGCCAATAATATAGTATATTGCATGTATATTTAACTTGTAAGCTATTTTGAATCCCTTTCGGGGTGAGAAGGGTGGGATATAAAGTTTGCAAATAAATAAATAAATAAATAACCTTTGCCTTGGGCAAGCCATCATTGTCTCAGGTTTTCACATATGGCTGGGGTCCTCAAACTTTTTAAACAGAGGGCCAGGTCACAGTCCCTCAAACTGTTGGCAGGCTGGATTATAATTTGAAAAAAGCATGAATGAATTCCTATGCACACTGCACATATCTTATTTGTAGTGCAAAAAACACTTAAAACAATACAATAATTAAAATGAAGAACAATTTTAACAAATATAAGCTTATTAGTATTTCAATGGGAAGTGTGGGCCTGCTTTTTGCTGATGAGATAGGATTGTTGTTGTTGTGTGCTTTCAAGTCATTTCAGTCTTAGGTTGAACCCTGAGCGAGGGCCGGGTAAATGACCTTGGAAGGCCGTATCCGGCCCTCGGGCCTCAATTTGAGGACTCCTGCTCTAAGGGGATACCTCTGAATCTGGGGTGTGTATAGGAGGGTTTTTAAAAACAATTGCCCTTACTGACAACCTGCATTACCGAATGTGCTATACGAGGCAAAGGCACTTGACCGAATATACACAGTTGACGCAAGATATACATTTGTGTAGAGGATTAGAATTCTTACAAGAAATCTTCAGACTCTATCACATCATGTGCTTCTGCTGAAGGTTTCAGAAAGTTGATGTGATGAACAAGGCCACCCAAGAGCAGATCTCCTGACTGAAGATACCTGTTCAAAATGAGTTGGTCATTGATAACCTGACACTGACCCACATTTCCTTTACAAACCATGGAAGGCAGGAGCAGCAATAACAGCAACATGATTATTATTACCATCCTTACTCTAAGCACAATTATAGCTTTCATGATTACCACAACACCCAGATTTGAATATATTTCTCAATAGCTTGAAGTTTTCAGTGTAGCTATTAATTCCCAGACAAATAGGAGATTCCATCCAGTCCCTTGCTCTGACATTGAATGCCTCTGGAATATATTTATACCATTCTTTCTTCTTAGTTTTGACATAGTCCACTGGAACTCTAAAGGAAGGTTTGAAAGCAACAGAATTAATCACCATAATTTGGTAATTATAACATTATTTGCTAAAATGTAGATATCCCCATGCTGAATGCAAGGCTGTTATTTATAAGCGGAGGCATTATTTCAGTGTTTGTTGCAATGGTAGAGGGATTCTTTCTTAACTTTCTTCCTTATTGTTGCCTCCAAACTCTTCAAAAATTGGGTTGTGCATTTTCTGGGCTGTATGGCCATTTTCCAGATGCATTCTCTTCTGATGTTTCGCCTGCATTTATGGCAGGCATCCTCAGAGGCTGTGAGGCCTGTTGGAAACTAGGAAAATTGGGTTTATATATCTGTGGAATGTCCAGGGTGGGAGAAAAACCTCTTGTTTGTTGGAACTAGATGTGAATGGTGTAATGGGCCACCTTATTTGGATTTAATGGCCTAGCAGTTTTAAGGTCTGGCTTCTTACTGCCTGGGGGAATCCTTTGTTGGGAAGTGATTAGCTAGCCCTGATTGTTTCTTGTCTGGAATTCCCCTGTTTTTCAGTGTTGTTCTTTATGAAGATGTATTGTCAAAGGCTTTCATGTTTACTGTTATTTACTGCTATGATTTTAGAGTTTTTTTTAAGACTGGTAGCCAGATTTTGTTCATTTTCATGTTTCCTCATTTCTGTTGAAATTGTCCACATGCCTGTGGATTTCAGTGGCTTCTCTGTATAATCTGAGCAGTCCAGTATTTCTGTGTTCACAAATTGGTTGGTTCACTGAGTGCTCTTTCTTCCACCCTGGACATTCCACAAATTTTCCTAGTTCCGAACAGACCTCACAACCTCTGAGGATGCCTGCCATAGATGTGGGCAAAATGTCAGGAAAGAATGCTTTTGGAACATGGCCATACAGCCTGGAAAACACACAACAAACCAGTGTTTCCAGCCATGAAAGCCTTTGACAATACATCTTCAAAACTTGTCCAAGTATCATACTACCTTGCATTTTTTAATTGTCTATGTGTGTTTTACCTCATATTACAAGAAGTTGGGGAATTCTCCAGAGCAGCCCCCTACTCCATGATTAGTGCGGCTATATAAGCTCTAATTCAAACTGGGTCATTGTCCACATGGATAGGTGCTGCTGCTGTCCTTGTGTAGCACTCCTGTTGCCAAGGCTGACTGCTTTGGAACATTGCTGGATGCATTTGCTGACATCAACAAAAGTGCCTGCATGACCAGGGAAAGGGAAATGGGTTGTTCTCTCTTCCTCCCTAGTCCTGAGGATGCCTTTGCTGCTGTCAATAAGGACACTCAGTGTTGTCTAGATTCTCTGGGGCTCCATGACCATCTGGGGAAGATGACAAGGGACAATCATGGTAAGGTGCCAGTTAGTGACTCCAAAGCAGTGTTGGCTTAGCATGGACCCTATCCTGCCATTACTGTGGAATGGAGCTTGGCAATGAAGCCACCTCTGAAGGTAGTCTAAATTTAATGGAAGACAGCTGAGGGTATGTCTACCTGCATCACTGCCTGACAGGAATAGACAAGTGTCAGTGGCAGTCAAGCAAAGTGTTGCAAGCGGGGGCCCAGCTTCGGAGGCTCCATAGAAGGGGAAAGCCTCAGCCTTCCGCATCTTAAAGGTCCATTCACCATTCAGCAGGAGGCTGCTTCACAAGAAGCCCATTCCTGTAGTCAAGATGGCACTGAGAAGAGAAGACACAAGAAGAGGCTCCATGACCCCCTCCCCAGCCCCTCGTATGCCATGCTTTATTAAAACCAAGGGATCAACAGGAGGAGAGTTTCTTGGAAAGGCTTGATAGAACTACAGCTGGGATACTCGGTAGGATGAGGAGTCTTCAGCTTTATAAGCTTTGACAGTCTATGATTACTATGGCCTGGACAAATAGTATTTATTTATTTATTTACTTATTTACAGTATTTATACCCCACCCTTCTCACCCTGAAGGGGACGCAGAGTGGCTTTAAAGAACACATATATGGCAAACATTCAATGCCAATTGTACAATGAACAAGGACAAACACAAACAGAGGTAAAGGCAGATTTTCCCATCTTATTTCTGATATCTTGGAGCCTGTGCTTGACTCTGACCCAGGGGAGGGTGGAAGGGGGTGCTGTTGCTCTATCTTCCATGCTGAGGCGCTTTCTTCTGATTGATGATGTCCTTAAGGGCGCCTTCATTACCTCCTTGCTAAAAGAGATAACTATTTTATCTACTTACATTTCTGCTTCGACCTGCTAAATGCGCAGGTGAACTGGGGCTAACGGCTGGTGCTCACCCCAACCCGGGCTCAAACTGCTGACCTTCTGATCTGCAGGATTTTTCTGCAGCACAGTGGTTTAGCCTGCTGTGCTAAGCTCGGAAAAAGCATCACTGTTTCAGCAGATTATTATTATTATTATTATTATTATTATTATTATTATTATTATTATGTGTTTTTGACTAGGCCATTCCCTGGATAGCTGGCCCCAGGCTAGGACCCAAAAATCTTGTGCTCGCACTTTACCACTATTGTATCTAAAGCTATTATGATTAATTGCTCTTATCCTTATTGCTGCTATATGATATATTCACTTTACTCACTAGCTCTATCCTTTTTGCACCAGTCCGTACACCCACAAGGAGATACTGAATGTTTTGTTTTTATTTTGTTTTATATTGTTTTTGTTATGTTGTTACGCGTTTTATGTGTTACGTTTTAACTTTATTGCTGGGCTTGGCCCCATATAAGCCGCCCTGAGTCCCTTTTGGGAGATGGAGGCAGAGTATAAAATTAAGTTATTATTATTATTATTATTATTATTATTATTATTATTATTATTATTTTATCCCTGTAGTTAGGTATAACCATAGAAACATTTTTGTAAATCCAGTTTATGCATACTGTATTAATATCCCTAAAAGACTTTAAAAAACGCTATGCAATGTAGTCAGAGCTGCCATTATTGTCCAGTTCCAATGGTGCTTCAAAACACATTGCTTTGTTTACATGAGCAATAAGCACATGCTGTCCTTTTCATTACCACTTTAAAAAACAAATACTCGCACAAACTCCCTCATCCGCACATGCATACCATGCTGCCATGTGCCAAGCATGTCTGCTCTCCCCTTCCTGCTTGGAGTCTCAAAAACAGCCCTCTCCTTAGCTGAGAGGTCAACTGAGAGGCCGGCCAAATACAGTGGAGGAGGGCTTTTGGTGGAAGGATTCACCATCTGCCCCCCCCCGCCCCCCGCCCCCCAAAAAAGAGAACAGGTGGAGAGCTCTTCAGCCTTCTCTGCCAAAGGAGTTCCTAAGACCATCAGAAGTATATGTTTTCTGATGGTCTTTGGTGACCCCTCTGAGAGCTCTGTTTCTTGAACTATATTTAGCCTATTTCTTTACCTATGTTTAGCCATCAAATGTCTGTAAGGGGATAGAGAATAAGTTAAAAATGATATAAATGTCTGTATTACGTCATTCAATATTATAGGTAATGTGTTCTATTAAATTCACTTATCACAAGAGAAAACTATTAGTGCTAGAAGTGAAGCAGGAGAGAAATGTGGCATGGTATCTTTCCCCCCTTAATATGATGTTGCTGACTGATCACAAAATATTAGAGATGAAGTGTTCAAGAGTGTAAGAAATTCAGAATAAGAGAACAGATACAGAGGAAGTCAAATGAGAGGATGTTTTATTAGCAATGGTTCTCATTGTGCAACACTCTACCTTTATTTGTTCTTGGTAACATATCAGGAGGAGGCTCATAGCAAAGGCTTAGGAGCAAACAATTTTGTAGAAGGGAAATTTTGAATTCTATTTGAACTAGTCAGTTTCTCCAAACATCTAAAGAAAACTTCTGATCCAGAGAATAGGCAAATCCAGGCCCAAGGGCCGGATGCGACCCTTGGGCTCTTTTCTCAGGCTCTCGTCTCTCACATCATCCTATCCTTTCTTCTTCTCTCTCTCTTTCCTCCCTCCCTCCCTCCCTTACCTCCCTCTTTTTGCCTCCCTCCTTCCCTTCTACCCTTTCATCTTTCCTTCCACTCATTCTCCTTCTTTCCCTCTTTCTTTTTTCTCCCTTCTTTCCTTCCTTTTCTTTTGTCTTTCCTCCCTTCTTTCTTTAACCCTCCTTCCATTCTCTTCCACCCTTTCTTCTTTCCATCCTTCTCTTCCTCCTTTCCTTCCTCCTTTCCTTCCTTCTTTCCTTCCTTCCTTCTTTTTTTCCTTCCTCCTTTCCTCCTGGGGGATGTTACCTGGGAGAAAAGACAGTTGAGATAAAACATGAGAACCATGTTTCAAGATTTAAAGGGTGTCCCATTGAGGAAGCGGGGGAAAACCGACTCTCTGTTTCTCTAGAGACCAGGGCAAAAGGGAGCAAAGATTTCAAGTGTCAGGGGAAGAGGTAAAGGTAAAGGTTGTCCCCTGACATTAAGTCCAGTCATGTCTGACTCTGGGCTGTGGTGCTCATCTCCATTTCTAAGCTGAAGAGCTGGCGTTGTCCATAGACACCTCCAAGATCATGTGGCCAGCATGACTGCATGGAGTGCCATTACCTTCCTGTCGGAGCAGTACCTATTGCTCTGTTCACTATGCCACCGGGGGCTCCTTAAAGGGATTTGAAAGGGAAAGAGACTTGACTGAAAAGATTAGGAAGAACTTCCTGGAGAGTGCCATAGGCTGTCTCCAGGTGTGGTGGAGTCTCATTCCCTGGAGGCTTTTCCACAGAGGCTGTCTATTTGGAGTGCTTTGATTGTGCTTTCTTGCATGGCAGGGGGTGGACTGGATGGCCTTGGTGGTCTCTTCCAGCTCTAGGATTCTAGGATTCTATATCAGGAGTAGGCAATACGGGGTCTAATGGATATTCTTTTCTCTCCTGTGCATTATCTCATCCTGGCCAAGACCACCCCTTTTGGGATCCACACATTTCTTGTCTTTCTTTCACTTTCTGCCTCCAAAAGAGAAGAGGGAGGAAAGGGCAGGGTGGGGGCTTGGGGAGAACCCCCTCTCTCCCGGTCCACCCACCCTGCTCTGGCCCGCCATTCGGCCCCCAAGTTAGAAAATTTGCCCATACCTGAACTAGACTCTGAACTTGTTTGCATTCAAAGACTTGTATTGTAAAGGATCACTCTATGGAGAGTGTCACTTTAGTTTTCCATTGGTTTCTCTTTAAAATGTGTCCCTTCTTGTTCAGTTCAGGCCTCAGAACTATAACGAAGCATTTGGGAAAAAATATGAAACTTAGCAATCCGGCACTGGAAACTAAGATAGCAAGGATCTCCATAGCCACCATTTGTTTTCCCTTGGTGCTCAAAAAGATTGGGATAAAGAATGCCCATACAATGCAAAAGATGAGCATACTGAATGTGATAAATTTAGCTTCATTCAAACTGCTGGGCAAGTTCCTGGCTAGATAAGCTACAATAAAAGTGACAATGGCCTGGAATACCATGTAAGCAAAGCCACTGTAAGCCGTTGCCACTGAGCTTATATTACATGTCAGTATGATTGTTTCAGTTTCTGAATGCATGTCAAAGTCTAGAAATGGAGGGGAAATTGATGGCAATATAACACATATGATTACCTGAATAAGAGTACAAGAAAAAACAATTACTGCAACCACTCCTTTACTCATCCATTTTTCCATTCTTGATGATGGTGTCGTAACCATGAAAGCCAAAACCACTGTGACAGTTTTGGCAAACACCAATGAAATGGTCATTGAGAAAACAATTGCAAAGATACTATTGCGAATGAGACATGTTGTTTTTTGGGGTTGTCCGATAAATAGCAAAACACAAAGGAAGCAGAGCAAAAGACTGACGAGAAGAGTGTACGAAAGAGTCTGGTTGCTGGCTTTGACAATGGGAGTATTGTGGTGCTTTATGAAAGTTCCAAGCACCAGAGTTGTGACCAAAGAAAAAGAAAGAGCGCCAATACTTAAACCAAGCCCTAAAGGTTCTTCATAAGACAAAAAAGTTATAATCTTAGGAATGCATTGATTGCGATCCTTGTTGGGATAATGGTCATCTTGACACCGGGAACAATCAATCATGTCTGAAAGAGAAAAGTTGTCGTTTCAGCTAACGAAAAGGTCTGCATTTGAAGAACTGTATTTAGAATGTACTGTGGAAACAGGAAATTATGGATAATAGCAAACTTTATTGAAATGAACACTTTTCACTTGAAGTTACTACAGAGAACCAAGGATACCTGTCTAGCAATTTGCTAGATCCTCCAATATCAATCAGATGCATAACATAAAATCACCTGAAGAATCTAGAACAATGGTTCTCAACCTTTGTAATGTTGTGACCCCTTAACACAGTTCCTCATGTTGTTGTGACCCTCAACCATAACATTATTTTCGTTGCTACTTCATAACTGTAATTTTACTACCTTTATGAGTTGTAATGTAAATATATGATATGCAGGATGTATTTTCATTCACTGGATCAAATTTGCCACAAATACTTGATACACCCAAATTTGAACACTGGTGAGGTTGGAGGAGATTGATTTTGCCATTTGGAAGTTATAGTTGCTGGGATTTATAGCTACCTTGCTATCAACAAGCATTCTGAACTCTACCAATGATGGAATTGAACCAGAATTGAACAGAAAGTGCTAGAAGGGTTTGGTGGGCATTGACCTTGAGTTTTGGAGTTGTAGTCTATCCAGAGAGCACTGTGGACTCAAACAATGATGGATCTGGACCAAACTTGGCACAAATACTCAATATTCCCAAATGTGAACACTGGTGGAGTTTGGGAGAAATAGACCTTGATATTTGGGAGTTGTGGTTGCTGGGATTTATAGTCCATCTACAATCAAAGAGCATTCTGAATCCCCATGACCAACAGAAAATACTTGAGGAATTTCAGATGAATTGACAGTGATTTTGGAGAGATTTAGTTCACCTACATCTGGAAAACACTATGAACCCAAACGATTTTGCCAAAGGGGTTCCTAAGACCATGAGAAATATGTGTTTTCCCATGGTCTTTGGTGATCCCTCTGAAACCACTTTGTGACTCCACCCACCCTGGGTCCTGACCCCAGGTTGAGAAACACTGACCTAGAAAATTCCTAGAAAAGACGTATTTTGTTTAATATAGGTAGGTGAAATGGCATGCACACACAATGTAGCGATTAATGGCGTGCGCTTAATTTTTATTTCTACAGGAATTCCTTTCTCCTCTTTTGTTGTTCTGGCTATGGAACCTCTTTGGAAATTTGCAGTAGCATGGCCCCCAGATTGTGGGAATTGACATCATCAGTCCAAAATGATTTGTCAGTTTTAGTAGTGAACCATAGTTTGGTAAACCCATGTGTTTTAAATAACATATCATTTCAGAATATGGTGACATTTTCCTATCATTGAGTATGACTGTTCTTGTTCATTCGTTCAGTCATCTCCGACTCTTCGTGACCTCATGGACCAGCCCACGCCAGAGCTCCCTGTCGGCTGTCACCACCCCCAGCTCCTTCAAGGTCAGTCCAGTCGTATGAGTATGACTATGTTTACTTTAAGATTTCCTTTGACTTCTATTCTAGGAACTTGTGCAAGAAGTATACTTTTTCTGTTGTCTTCTGTTTCTTTGCACTGATTATTGAAATAGCCCCTACTACTATTACATATTACATTAGTACAACTGTCTCACCAATCTCGTCAGAAATCTTCCCTTCTGGACATGGAATGCAATCATAACAGCAGATGAAGTCCTCCAATTTTTTTTGTTTGCTGTAACCAGGACGGCATTTCTCAATACACATAGAAATGGGTTGCTCCTGTTCTACCAATAAGAGAGAAGATGTATGAGAATCCTTAAATTTCAGGAACATAAAATAAAGGTAAATGTAATAATAATAATAATAATAATAATAATAATAATAATAATAATAATAATTTTATTTATAGCCTGCTACCATCTCCCTAAGGGACTCGGAGTGGTTTACATGAGGCCAAGCCCAACAACACATCAAAAACAACAAGCAATAATAAAATAACAAGCAATAAACAAAATAAACAATACAATTAATATAACTCATAAGTAGACAATAACACACAAGAATTTAAAAACCTATGGCTGGGCCAAATGTAATAATTAAAACTTTAAAAATAAATGCTGGACATGAACAGAGGATGTATCTATTTGGAGGGTTTTAAATCAAAAGTAAAGAGCAACCCAACGGGTAATTAAAGTGCTTCTCAGAGTATTTGCAGGGGATTGTTTCCTTTATTCAGGGAAGGCACACTGGAACAGCCACGTTTTCAGGCTCCTCCTAAAGACTGCCAATGTGAGGGCTTGTCTGATATCCTTGGGGATGAGTTCCAGAGTCGAGGGGCAACCATGGAAAAGACCCTCTCCCTCGTCCCCACCAATCGCACCTGCGAGGGAGGTGGAAGCGAGAGCAGGGCCTCCCCAGATGAAGAAAGAGATTGCGTGGGTTTGTACACAGAAATGCGGTCACGCAGGTAGGCGGATCCCAAACCGTTCAGGGCTTTGTAGGTCAGAACCTAATGTTTTACCTAACATTAAGTCTAGTTGTATTCGACTCTGCAGGGTGGTGCTCATCTCCATTTCTAAGCAGAATAGCCGGCGTTGTCCGTAGATACCTCCAAGGTCATGTGGCCAGCATGGCTGCATGGAGTACCATTACCGTCCTGCCAAGGCAGTACCTATTGATCTACTCACATTTGAATGTTTTCGAACTCCTTAGTTGGCAGTAGTTGGGCCTAACAGTAGGAGCTCACCCAGTTCCCCGGATTCAAACTGCCAACCTTTCGGTCAGCAAGTTGAGCAGCTCAGTGCTCAACCTAACCCGCTGTGCCACCAGGGAGGCCCATACACATCATACAATTCAGCAATCCCACCATGGGTTTCTAATTCTGGAGAAAGCAACTATATTCCTTTGTCCATGCAGTAAATTTTAAAACAGTTACAGTAATCCAAAACATACACTGAATGATAGCATTATACTTTTTACGAAACAGGCACAATGTCATGAGAGAAAAACTGTCCTCTAAAATGCACAAAAAATCTTGTAACCTGACCAAATGTGTGGAGACACTCTTTCTTTTTAAGGATGAATAATCTGAAAATATTATTGACATCCCTACTTAACAGTCACATCCTTGATCATTAATTAAAGACTTATCAAATATCTATATTCAAGTCTCACCTGTTGAAACCAGCTGTGCCATACAATGCCAGATGTATTAATAATTAATCCTTGACCTAGAGATGCCCTTGGATCTATCTTTCCAACCTTTACTCTGACAAAAGAATGGTTTGGGAATGTGACCCAGTTTATTATATCAAAATCGGTTACTAATACTCCATTCTGGTCAAAAAAAATATTCTCCCCAGCACTGTTGTTGAAAGAGACTTGTTTGAGAAAGTGGTGGAGCTAGATTTTTAAAAACCAAAAAAGAAAGAGTTGTTAAATCAAAAATATTTTTAAATAGAGTTTGATCATCCTTCTGGGGGCCCCAGTGGTGCAATGTGCCGGCAGGACTGGTTGACTGACAGGTTGGCAGTTTGAATCCGGGGAGTGGTGTAAGCTCCCATCTGTTGAGCTCTAGCTTCTCATGAAGGGACATGAGAGAAGCTTCCCACAGGATGGTAAAACATCAATCATCTGGGTGTCCCCTGGGCAACGTCCTTGCAGACAGCCAACTCTCTCACACCAGAAGCAACTTGCAGTTTCTCGCTTCTGACAGGAAAAAAATCGTCATCTTTCTTATCTATATCTTGACTGCTCTATGAAAATCCATTTGATTTATTACATTTGAAATCCTATTTAAAGCAGCTCAGTTTTTTGGGGTTCACATGTAAAACTGCTACACTAAATGAACTGTGCATGTTTGTAGCCATATATTGTTTTGTATTTGGATTGTAAGGAGTGTTTATTTAGCAGATAAAGTGGGGCTTGCAGTGATTGAATAGATTTCCCTGCCTACTAAGACTGGAATGACATGTCGGAAGATATCCGACAGCTAAATTAATTTTGTCAGGGAATGGCCAAGGAAAGAAAAGGAAAACATTTGTTATTAACATTCCTGTGTTTCATGTGCTCTATGAAATTAATGCCATATCCACTAAGAAGTCAATCATTATATGTGATGGACCTAAGAGGAAATTGGCTCAAAATGTTCCATAGATGGTATGCTACACCCAAAAAGTTAGGTTTAATGTATAAAAATATGGACAAAAAATGTTGGAAATGTTGTGAGGTTGATGGTAGTTTTTTTCATATGTGGTGGACTTGTAAGAAAGCCCAAAATTATTGGAAGAATATACATGAAAAATCACAAAAAATATTGGGAATTTCATTCCCAAGAAAATCAGAGTATTGCTTATTAAATATTACTGACACAGACATTACCCTGGACCTAAATAAAGACATTTTATTTACTTATATTACAACTGCTGCAAGGATACTATATGCAAAGAATTGGAAAACAGATAGAATACTGGAAGTAGAAGACTGGATAAATTAGATCCAAGAAATTAAAGATATGGACAAATTAACCTTTTTTTGAAGAAGAAGAAGAAAAGTCCGGGAAGCACAATAAGAGAGACAGATTGGTCATTTTTTGAAAAATATTTAAAAGAAAAGAGGCAGGAAAATGATCACTGACAACGTTCCCTTGGGGGAATACTAGTATTTGAAATACTTTATAGTACCTCTTTTCGGTTGTATGAATTAAGAAGACTTTTTAGAAGGGAATAGAGACGAAAATAATTAAATAAGAAATTATATAGCATGGCGAAGACACAGAATAGAAGTCAAAAAGACTTTTTTCTTTCTTTCTTTTTTCTAATTTTTAATCACCTTTTTTATTTTTGTGAGTCTTTTTTTCTCTTCCTCTCTCTTTGTTAATCTTAATTTTCTTACTTTCCTATAATCCAATATTCTCCCACTTTCCTTGTAAATCTTTCATAAAATGTTTTATTTGTTTTCATATGTGTATAATTCAATAAAACTGGTTTGTTTGGGGTTTTTTCAATCATTGTCAGGTTATTAGACAAACCAGCATATGCAATACTTAAAACAAATTATTTGAATATATCTTATTCCTGAAGATTTAAACCATGATAGGCCAGTGTGTGATTTATCTGAGTAGAGGAAAATATAGAGGAAAATAATTTTTGTTATCCATAATTAGTTGACAATTGCCTTGTGAATGCATAGCACAAAAGATGTGGAGTGCCTTCAAACTTTGATAACATTGATACAAAACAGCTAAACTATTATAATTATTGTACTCAGAAACATAATATTAATTTATTGTTGAAGGCTTTCATGGCTGGAATTATTGGGTTGTTGTGAGTTTTCTGGGCTGTATGGCCATGTTCCGGTAGCATTATCTCCTGACATTTCACCTGCATCTATGGCAGGCCTCCTCAGAGGTTGTGAGGTCTGTTGGAAACTAGGAAAATGAGGATTATATATCTGTGGACTATTTCTCCCATTCTGGACAGTCCACAGATATATAAACCCCATTTTCTTAGTTTCCAACAGAGCTCACAGACTCTGAGGATGCTTCCCATAGATGCAGGTGAAATGTCAAGAGAGAATGCTACTGGAACATAGCCATACAGCCCAGAAAACTCACAACCCAGAATATTAATTACATGAGAAAACATAACATTACCTCCCATGGTTCTTGGTTCAGCGGTTTACTTCTCTCTCCATCTATTCTTCTGGATTTAGTTGAATACATGCCCTTCAGAGCATGAGCCACAGCATAAACAGCATTGTAGATGGCATAACTGTATCCATTAAAATAATTTTCCAAAATGTGTTCAGGAAGAGTATACAGTCGCTCTTCTCCAGTGCACTTATTTCCATTCCTATTGCTTAAAAGTGAATCTGGGACAACACAATGAAAGACCGGTGCCCAGAGGTCAGTGATGAAATCACCTTCCTTTGTTTTATAATCTCTGTTTTGAATAAATGGTTGAAATCCTGGCAATTCATTAGAATGGACTGCAATGGAGAGAGCACCTTGAAATATGGGCATACTTTCTCTCCATTTTTTCATATTCCAATAATACGGTAATTTCAGCTGATTTGTTAGGATCCATACTTTACCACTTGATTTGTGTATTGTTTCTTCAACTTCAGACAAACTAATGAACCAAATGAAAATCATCATAGAATCTGGATCTCCAAAAAAGACAAAAACATTGGCAGTACTTGTTGTGATTCTTGCGAAGAACTGAGCTGTCCATTTTTCAAAGACTTCATACCTGTCCATGTCAAAATGGTAGATTGTGTCCAAGAAGGCAAAGCAGATGTCATGCTGGGAAAATTCTGCAACCACAACCTTTGTGATCCATTCTAAATATGCACCAGCTGAAGTGAATAATCCAATCCATGTCCACTTGAAATAGAGAAGTAACTGGAGAATCCCTTTGTATTGTTGATCTTCATTAGGGACCATTTGGTAAAGTGGAAGTAATTGGTTGTCATACATCATCACTGGACTATATAAGAGCTAATCATATTTTATTAATGGAGAGATAAAACAATGTTCAACATGAAATACACTCATGCATGCACCCATATATGATTTTCAAAACACACATGAACACATGTACGTACATACATAGTGTCTCCTGAAATGCATTTGAGATTCTTCCAAGGAGTCATAGGAGTCAGATCTGGAAATGTTCCTTCTAGAATAGTGGTTCTCAACCTGTAGGTTCCCCAGATGTTTTGACCTTCAACTCCCAGAAATCCTAACAGCTGGTAAACTGGCTGTGATTTCTGGGAGTTGTAGGCCAAAGCACTTGGGGACCCATAGGTTGAGAACCACTGTCTGGGCAAGTAATGGTAGATAGTGATACAGCTAACAAGGACTTTTCTACAGCACCTCCCTTCATCCCTGGATAACTTCTTAGATTACTTATGTATGACATGGACTGGCTTGATTCCTCTGTAATTTCTTCCCTTTACTATTGCCTGCCTTTTGTGTCACTTGCTGTCCCTAAGCATAGGTCAGGGAGTTGACTTGCTAAGACTAAGTAAGAGCAAGATAGTAGAAGGCAAAAAACAAGGTTGATGTGTATGAGAAAGCTTCTATCATGTGTATGTGTGCATTGAGTGATTGGACACATTAATTCAGAAGCGCATAATGTCTCAAATTTGTCTGTGTTTGGAACTGAAGTCCCATTTATTGTCTTTTTGACAAAGGGAAACTTTCTAGATCCCAGACTTAAAAAGTTAACATCACATGATCTCAACCTTGAAAGTAGTATATAAAAGCACCAATGGTATCAAAACACTCAACCCTCTGTGTAAGTTGAAATATTTGCATTTTCATTTCATTCAGCAAGTCCCTAAGCATAGGTCAGGGAGTATTCTATTGTGGGCAATGATGCAACTGGAATATATTTGCCTTCAATGTGGAAACACACCACTCTCTTCCATTTCTGTTCAGTGAATTAAATTTTATGAAATGCAGCTATTACCATTTACACAAAGTCACATCTAGAAAGACAAAACAATAAGTGGATCAATTGCATTACACATCTTACTTGTGGAATCTTATAGATGTCCAAAATGTATTTTATCTGTTGGGAAGATTCCAAGTCAAATCTTTCCATAACAGCAATAAGGTGGCCCGGAGTATTGCACTTGTAGTTGGGGATGAAGTTGTCTCTTAGAGAAATGAGTTGCATTGCAGAATGGTAATTCCACTTTGTATTCATATGGTTGTCATAAATGTGAAATCCAAGGGAAGCATTGGACAAGATCTTCACATTTTCATTGATTTCCTTTATGGCAAATATCAAGGCAAGGATGTTCTGGTAGTTCTGAGTCATTACCCTATGATGAGATCCCATTGCATGTTACAAATACTTTATAAAACTGTTATTTTGTTAAATAATTACTAAGACCTTGTACATTTTTACATTTCAGAAGCTGACATTTTTACATTTTAGAAGCTGACTGAATCCACAACAGCTTGTACTAGACATTTTCTCTAGTTATCACAAGGGTGCTACTGGATTTCTCTATATCTTTCTATTCTAAAATGCAACTATCTCTGTGATTAAACCAACTTACTATTAATACTCAATTATAAGTCTATTTTTTCAGGCTTTTTGTGTTGAAGAAGCCTCCCTTAGCTTATATTCAGGTGAGGGTCCTGGCAGGAAGGCATGAGGCTGAAAGAAGGGCTTCTTTCAGCCCCACGCCTTCCTGCCAGGACCCTCACCTCTGAGCACAGCAACCCAATCTCCTTCCTCTCCTTCTCTCTCACGCAGCATGCAACTTCCTCCTCTCAGCACCGGTCTTTCCCACTTTTCCTTATTCATATACACACAGCATTTCCCCCAAGATGTATAGTTAAAATAAACTATGGTGATTATTGGAAGGGTACATGAGCACATTTACACTGAAGGAGGTTAGAATAATGATTTAATCAGAGTTGGGCAGCCTTATCTTTATTTATGTAAATATTAAATATATTTGACCTACTGATGCCTCAATTAGTGTAATTTTATTGGTATCTATTTTGATTTTGAAATTTACCAGTAGCTGCTGCATTTCCCACCCTTGAACCAATATGTTTTACCAGTTTTTTTATGGTAAGATTAGGTGCCTCGGCTTATATTCGGATCGGCTTATACTCGAGTATATACGGTAATTAGTTAGTCAAAGGCTATTAGTTTAACAGAATAAAATAAATTTCAAAAATACAATGGCATCACCAAATCTCACTATAAAATATTTATTTATTTTATTTATTTATTTACAGCATTTATATGCTGCCCTTCTCACCTCGAAGGGGACTCAAAGTGGCTTACAAGATATAGATATGATATATAGTACATAAAATATATAATATTATTATAATATATTATATTTTATTCTATTATATTATTAGTATAGCACAATATCAGTATTCTATATTACTATATTGTCCTATACCATTATATTGTAATATTATTAGCATTAATCTGTAATCTAGACCTCACCTCTGAGGATGCTTGCCATAGATGCAGGCGAAACGTCAGGAGAAATGCCTCTAGAACATGGCCATATAGCCCGAAAAAACCCACAAGAACTGAGTATATATGTAATCTCTATAAACTCATTTTACATACCCATGAAAGAAATTGGGACCCCACAGAGCTATAATTTAGTTGAAATGAACTATGGTTTATGAAAATGTATGGTATGTTCTTTTCTGGTATTTAAAATGCTGTAGAAGGAATGACAACATAGCCTTCACTACCTCTGAGGATGCTTGCCATAGATGAAGGCGAAACGTCAGGAGAAATGCCTCTAGAACATGGCCCTATAGCCCGAAAAAACCTACAAGAACCTAACATAGCCTTCCCTTACAAAGGTTTTATTTGTTTTCTTTCAGTTATGTTTACATTAAAACAATGAAATGCTACATTTCACATTATTTATTTTTTTAAATGAATGGTTTTAAATGGAGCAGACAAATACAATTCCGGAATAAAAATCTTCTATTTTCATATTTTATTTGGCATCCTTTCCATGAAATCCTGAACAACTTCTATCCACTATATAGCTCTCTGTTGTCATCATATCCGAAGCATAATTACATTGCTGAGGGATAATGTGATGAAATAGCGAGATTCACTTTAGGGGAGAAGAAGGAAGGAAGGAAAGGAACGAGGAAGGAAAGGAATGCTTTCCAATGCAATCTACTGAGCAGACTGCAGGAAACTACTCAACAAGCTGTAGTCCTTTCTACAGCTCATTCAGTCAATATATTCTATTCACCCCAACAGACAACTCAATATTATCTGAACATACATAATGCAGGGTTCATGTTTGTGGAGAGGGGAATGGAACTCTTACAAGAAATGTTGAGGTTCTTCTAATGCAGGCTCTTCTTTGAAAGACGTTGGTGCGGATGAAAAGAAGTTGTGATGAAAAAGTCCACCAAGCATCAGATCTCCTTGCTGAAGATACTTGTGAAAAGTAGGATTATGAAACATAACCTGACATTTAGTCACATTTTCCTTACAAACCATATGAGGCAGCAGTAGCAGCAGCAATGCTATTGCTATTGCCACTCTAATTCTGAGCATAACTACAATAGTATTGTTAGAGCTTTCATGATAGATTCCTACTGATCCCTCGCCTTGATACTGAATATCTTGAGCATCTACATGTATCATTTTTGTGATTAATGTTTGTATTGTTGAATGGAACTCTACAGGGGTTTTGAAAGCAGAAGAAATAATTACAATGATCTGAAATAAGTATAAGGGTTTGTTCTAAAATTAATATTTGCTTATGATACCGTTGAATACAAGGTTAATTTTGAACAGAGGTATATAGTAGTGAATTGTGTATAGATACCCATAAACTATACTTAGGGTTAGAAGGCCTTGATATGTATCTATTCAAGTAATTAGCGTGTATGTGTCTCTTGTGATCTAAATAGTCAGAGATGAAGACTACGGTATCTTGTTATGAATATAGGTGATTGGGCATAGACAATCTTTACTTAGAAACTGTACTCCTACATTAAGAAAGAAGATTGAATTTTTCCCATTAGCATTTTATGAAGCTAATGGACATTTAGTATGTCCAGCTGAAGGGTCAAAATCCCTTCATTAACGTAAAAGTATAGGTAGTCCCCTGACATTAAGTCCAGTCATGTCTGACTCGGGTGTGGTGCTCATCTCCATTTCTAAGCCGAAGAGCCAGAGTTGTCCGTAGACACCTCCAAGGTCATGTGGCCGGCATGACTGCATGGAGCGCCGTTACCTTCCCGCCGGAGCGGTACCTATTGATCTACTCACATTTGCATGTTTTCGAACTGCTAGGTTGGCAGAAGCTAGGGCTGACAGTGGAAGCTCACGCCGCTCCCCGGAATTGAACCTGCGACCTTTCGATCAACAAGCTCAGCAGCTCAGTGCTTTAACCCACTGCGCCACCGGGGGCTCCAACATAAAAGTATATGACTACACCAATTCTGCAGTGGCTTATAATCTATTTATTTATTTGAATATGCAGGGAGAATTGTGTTTTTTCACATTTCTTTCCAACTAAGCACATATTTCAAATGTAGGCATTCATGTTAGAAAGCAATTCTTCCATTTAATTAAGCATTTTATATTCATTTTCCTCCTTAGCTTGTACATGCCTTAAAAATGTAAAAAAAAAATGGTGTAGGTTTTCAAAGGTAGCTTATATTTTTTCATGTAGATATTGCTCCCTAAAGGTAAAGGTTTCCCCTTGACATTGAGTCTAGTCGTGTCCAACTCTGGGAGGTGGTGCTCATCTCCATTTCTAAGCTGAAGAGCCAGCATTGTCCATAGATGCCTCCAAGGTCATGTGGCCAGCATGACTGCATGGAGTGCCGTTACCTTCCCACCAGTACCTATTGATATATTACACTTGCATGTTCACTTCTGCCAACTGCTAGGTGGGCAGAAGCTGGGCCTAACAGCAAGAGCTCACCCGCTCTCTGGATTTGAATCACTGTCCTTTTGGTCGGCATGTTCAGCAGATCAGCGGTATAACCCACTGCACCACTTACAAATATTTGAACAGTTTAGATTTCACCTCCAACACTCTTCCTGTTTATGTTCAATAAATATTCAGAATAATAGAATTATAGAGTTGGAAAAGCCCTCTTGGTATATCCAGTCCAACCCGCTGTCAAGAGCACGAAAAGCACATTCAAAGCACCCCTGACAGATGGTCATCCAGCCTCTGTTTAAAAGCCTCCAAAGAAGGAGCCTCTACCACACTCTGCAGCAGAGAGTTCTACTGCTGAACAGCTCTCACAGGAAGTTCTTCCTAATGTTCAGGTGGAATCTCCTTTCCTGCATTTCCTGTTTGAAGCCATCCTGCCTTTGCTGACATGTGGACAAGATTGATTTGTAATGTATTCCTGATCAAAATTTCAAGGTAAAATAGTTTTGCAATCTTAGTGAAAACTTTATTATAAACCAATTAAGTACATCCTCTTCTTTTTTAAAAACACACACACACACACCCGGTGGTGCAGTGAGTTAACCTGCTGAGCTGCTGAACTTGCTGATCAAAAGGTTGCAGGTTCAAATCCGGGGAGCGGCATGAGCTCCCGCAGTTAGCTCCAGCTTCTGCCAACCTAGCAGTTTGAAAACATACAAATGTGAGATCAATAGGTACCGCTCCAGCAGGAAGGTAACAGCCCTCCATGTAGTCATGCTGGCCGCATGACCTTGGAGGTGTCTATGGACACCTCCAGCTCTTCGGCTTAGAAATGGAGATGAGCACCAACCCCCAGTCAGATATGACTGGACTTAATGTCAGGGGAAAACCAAAATGATGAAGATTCTGGCATTTGCGAGCTGTATCTGAATTTGAGCTTGGAAATCCACACCAGAATCCTCTTGCGGATTTGTATTTCTGTAAGTGGACTGTAGGATTTAGAACTGTACAGTTGCATGATGTCCTCATCCAGTAGAGGTTGCTATTACATTATTATATAGCTGACAGAGAGCACTATATTGCCAAATAGTGCTGCCTGTTCTCCAAGGCAAGATGTATGTTCCCCTCTGAACTGCTTCGAGGTAAATTTGCAGGAGTCCCACATGACACAAGACTTTGCCCAAGCAATAACCAGGAAGTTGAATGTATGGATGACATCTTATTGTCCTGCAGTTTTTATAAACAGGCTCAGCAATATATTTACACTATGTAACACATTTTTGATTCTGAGTTATAAATGTCATTTCCTAATTGAGTATATATAAAAACATAGAAAAGGTTTACTAAACTGCAAAAACTTTGTTTTTGTGAGACATCCTGCAACACGTTTTCCTGTAGTTTTTCACTTAATATATCTCATAGAGTCTCAATCAATTCAACCTAGTTTGTGGTAGCCACAAAAATGAAGTTTCTGAAGTGTAACAACTACTCTCAAAATAAGTACTGCACAAGCAAAGAGAAAACTTTCAAACCAGGAACAGAATTTTAGTCAAGTTTTGTTACATAATGTTATTACTCCACTATTGAGAAACATAACTGGTAGATCAGCCCATGTCTATTAATGTTTTTTTAAGAGATTATCTTCCCATGTGACTTTGGCCATTGTCAAGTTTCTCTCCGAGGTAGCCAGGTTAACACAACTTTATGGATCAGACTCAGGCTGAAATTTGCCTTTACATTTATTTGCAGTGTTCTCAGTCTTGTTCACATGTATCTTGGATAGTGTAGCATCCTGCATTTTAATCAGTTTAATCTGTTTATTAATCTGTAAACACATGTGTACCTTTTACTACTGAGTTCCTTGGGACTATAATAAAACTGATTAATAGAGCTGGCAGATAGACTGGTTTGCATTGGAAACAATGTTCATCATGTACTCATGTGAATTAATCCCAAATAGCTTCATGCACTCATATGGATTGACCTTGATGTGAATTGGGCACTCTTGCCTTTGTTCCTTACCCACTTTTACAATTCCGTAAAGGGGTTTCTTAGCATCTCTCCCACATAGCTAGGCATACATAAAGATAAATAATGCAACAGATGATATAGGAGCTGGCAGAAGTCTACTGCGTTCTCCTTGGAAATCTTCACACTAATCTCCCGCCTCCACTTTGTTCCATTTTCACATCACCCCACATGCCCTCCTTCCTTCCCCCATCACATGGGAGGAATGCGACAAAGTGTATTGACACCCTGTCTCTGCCCCCCATCAGACAGGGGAAAGTATGGCAACATGCCTTTCTCCCATCACATGGGGGAAAGGTGCCAAAATATAGCTAGCTCCATCGGAGCTACACAAAAGCCACTTTCTGTTGTGGGTGAGGAAGCATCTTGCGATGCTTCATTGCCACTTTGGAGAAGAATGGGGCAGAGCCAAGCCAGCATCATCTGATGGCACTTAGCAGGCCCCGTCCCTGCAGAGGAGCAAGGGGCCAAAAGCCACATGTTTGATAAGATCTCTTGTCATGGGAAGCATTAAGAACAGCAGCTGGAGTCTTTGGAGTCCCTCCCCCCAAGCCTGAAAGGCTCAATACCTTGGAATCATGGAGGTTGCAGTTTTTCAAGTTGTCCTGCCTTCTCTGCCAAAGAGGACTGGTACATCATCAAACTACAAATCTCAGGATTTTATAGCATTGAGCCATAGCAATTAAAGGTGTGTCACCCAGTGTCTCCTTCTCAGTATAACGGAAAGTATCAGATAATCACAATGGTCCATGAGAATTTATAATTTCTACACTGATTGGTCAATATCTAGGTTTTACAATCCTACTTGGTGAACCTCTGAGATTTCCGGCTGGGGGGGGGGGGCAGTCTCAAAGTGGGATTGCTAATTTGAAACGAGGGTGTATAAATATATATTCAGTATTTTTTTTAAAAAAAAATGCTTAAATTGCATACTTTGTAAAACTCTGGTTAACATTTGTAAAACTTTGTAAAACTCTGGTTAACTGGTTAACCCACTCCCTGTGGCTTCATCAAAGCTTATTCTGTGACAAGACACTTCTTTTGGGTTTGAGGTTTAAGATGTGAAACCAGGATGTAGGACAGTCTTGATCTGGCAACCTACCTACTAGAACTTTCAACCTCTAAAAGAATAAGAGAAGAAGAAAAAATAAATTAATTTCTCAGCTTTTTCTTCATTAATGTTTCTCGGTTGTTCAGGTCAGGCCTGAACAAAATAATATAGCATTTTGGAAAAGTGATACAACCTAGTAGCCCAGTACTAGAGATTAAGATTGAAAATATCTCCACAGCCACCATGGATTTTCCTTTAGTGCTCAAGTAGCTTGGAATGAAGGATATCCAAACACTGCAAAACACCAACATGCTGAATGAGATAAACCTGGCTTCATTGAAAGTATCCGGCAACTCTCTACTAAGAAAAGCAACAACAAAACTGGCAGCGGCCAGGAATCCCATATATGCCAGAACACAATAAAACATAGTGGCAGAATTATTGTTACACTCCAGTATGATTTCTTCTTTGACTGATTGAGTGTTAGGACTGGGGAATGGGGGAAAGGTTGCTAGCCACACAACACAGATGCCTGCTTGAATAAGGGGACAAGAAATAACAATACAGTTGGTCAATGTTTTTCCCACCCATTTCCTCATTCTGGATCCTGGCTTGGTAGCCATGAAAGCAAGAAGTACTGTGATTGTCTTTGCCAACACACAAGACACAGCCACTGAGAAGATGATGCCAAAAGCAGTTTGTTGGAGAAGACATGTCACCTTCTGGGGCTGGCCAATGAACAGCAAGGCACAAAGGAAACAGAACAGGAGGGCAATGATGAGAATATAGGTAAGGTTTCGATTATTTGCTATGATTATGGGAGTGTTTTGATATTTCAGAAATATCACTAGTATGAAACATGTTATGAAAGATAAAAGAAGAGAAAGGAAAGCTAAAGCAATCCCCAGTGGTTCTTCATAAGACAGATAGTTTATATCTCTTGGAATACACAGGTCATGTTTTTTATTGGGGTAGTATTCATCACTGCATATATGGCACTCATCCATGTCTGAAAAAGAAAAAAATAATAATTGTGGTATTTATCCCTCACATATCTGTCAATGTTGAGTAAGACTGAAATAACAGTCCTATTGTACCTTCATTTTCTGTTCTCTTCATTTATTCCAGTTTTATGTTTCACTGGGAAAATACAAAAAGGCTAGTCCTAGACAGCAATAAATCTTAGTCAACACTGCATCAGTTCCTTCCCTACAGCTTTTCCCTCTTTTAATTTGACAAAATATAATAATGATAATTACTTGTCATTAGGTTAAAACAAAATCCAAAGTCCACTCAAAGGTTAACAAAGTATTTTGATGGTTAACAAAGTATTTTGTCATCAGATATTACCTACTGCTGACTTCCCATTCTCATAAAATAGTCTTTGAAATCATTTCAAGAACTGTTGAACTGCACAATTACAAATATCTCTTTCAAGTGGAAAGTCAGCTGAAATGATAATGCTCTACTATATTTGTCTAGTGCCTCATCACTGTGAACTTGTGAAGAAGCATTCATGTCGCATATTATTTATTTATTTATTTATTTATTTAGAGCTTTTATAACCCGGTCTTCTCGACCTCCAAAGAGGGACTCAGGCCGGCTAACAGCAGAAAATTCAACACAAATATAGCAAACATAATAGCATCATAATACATTAATACAAAATACACTAAAATACAGATCATACAATATCATAAAATTACAACATACATTAGTAATAAAACCTTGTAATATTTAGATCCTAAGCTAAATGACCATTTTGGGAGGATAGTTTTTGAATGACTAGATTAAGTTTATCACCTTTCCCATGTTTACTTCATAGGAAAGGTGATAAACGAAGCCATTTAAAAACTACCCTTCTGCAAATTGTTCCAAAATGTATTCCTTATGCCCAGTCTGTTCAAGTCAAATTATTGTGATTATTTTGGGAAAATGTTTGCCAATAATATTTTTAAAGGAATCGTGCAAAAAGTGTCAGTTTTGCATTAAATATTCATCCAACAGTATTATTCTGATTAGTAAAAGAAATGTTATGAAAGTGATCTGTCATGCCCCATGAAGACCCTCACTGTTTACCCCTAGTTAAGCCCTCTTTAGTTAGAGGGATTAATATTTTATGTACAGGGTTTTTTTTGGGGGGGAGGGGGGGGGACAGCCACTTTGCATTTGAAGCATTCATTGCCCTGCCCCTTTAAGAATTGCCTTGGGGTGGAGCCTCATGCAAGGCACTGCTGGAAGAGTCAGCCTTTTTCGTGACTGGAAAGTGAAGAGAGAGGAAGGCTGGAAGGTCTAAAAAATAGCAGATCCAGTTGGAGCTGTATTCAAGTCCAGTCAGAGTTAAATATTGAGACCATCTTACAGACAGTTGAACACCATTCAAGAAAGAGACAATAAGAAAAATAAAGATTCAAGAGCTTCAGGTCAGCCAGAACTGTGTCTATCTCTCACAGACTTTACCTCTCCTCATAAAGACTTTGTAGTGAGACTCGGGAGAAGAGAAAGTCTAATATTCTTTTCAGTTAATAAATTCTTGTTTGATTCAACTATATAGTTTCCAATCTGTTCCCTGCACAGCCAGTTCACCTTCCAAGTAATTAAGATAGTGTGGGGGCAGAACATGATCTATTTTTCCTGTCCTGGTGCTAAACACCTTTTCTTTGGAACTGTATTGCTAATTGACATCAAGTCAACTTTGACTTATGTTAACCCTACGAATGAGAGACCACCAAATCACCTCATAATCAGTAGTCCTGCTTAGGTTGGGACTGATTTCTAGGGAATTGTGTATTTTCATGATCTTGCCAATGTACAGCAATTTCAATTTAGCCAACTTAGTTTCTAGGGAGGGTTGGATTTGATTTGCTCTAGGGTCAGTTTTTGTTTGGCAGTCCGGAATATTCATAGAAGCCATCTCTAACACACTCAAAATGTATTGATGTTCTTCCTATCAGTTTTCCTCTCTTTTAACTTTCACAACCATAGATAGAAATGAGACAGACAATGGCATAGGTAGTCCTAACTGCATTCAATGATATATCATTACACCTCAAGATCTTTTCTAGTTCTTTCACAGCTGCTATTCCAAGTTTTCATCTGATTCTTGAATGTGGCCTCTATTCAGATTAATAACCTACCAATAAGAGTAATAGTGGTAGTGGTAAAACAATAATAATAAGCAGAATGAAATAACATTGTAGTCAACAGTATTAGTCCAGAGAGTCATACATATTCACCTCTGGACTTTGTAGACATACCTAAAATATATATTTAACCAAATTCTCATGTCCCCAACAGACTATGAAGAAGGAATCAAATCAAGACATGGCTTTTCCTTCCGAATGGAAAGTGACTATCTTTACCAAGTGGGGTGGAGAGAAGCAAAGTTGCAAAATTACACAAAATTTGTTTAGAATGGCAAAAAGTGGCTTTTAATCAATTTTAGTTTACATTTCAGGTTCTCTGAACCAATAATAAAATGTTTTTTATTAATATGTGAATAGCACTAGTAACTGTAGGTTTCTCTTAACACTCTTGTTTCTTACCCTCCTCGCTGGAAATCTTTCCCTCTGGACATGGCATGCAATCATAGCAACAGAATTGTTCTCCCTCTTTTATTTTCTTGCTATATCCAGGATAGCAATTGCCATTACACTGAGAAAGGGGTTGAACCTGGTAAAAAAAAATATTAAAAATGCATTGACAATGTGACACTATCGAACTATGAATGCTGTTGCTGAGGGAAAGGAGAAATCAGGGTGTTGGGATGGGTGGGTTGCACTTTTTGAGGTTCACTGGAAGAAATTAATCCAATTTTGGAATTCACACATTTGGGGAGCATACACAGTCTTTCTGAGAGGACAAGGTGAAGAAATTGCCCTTCATTTTTAACAATGCAAAAACACATACAAACAAAATTGCATAACATGCAAACTGGGATATGAGATTTGTGAAGCTGGAACGTGGCAACCCTGCCTCTATATGTATTGAATAAGAACTTTAAATATAACAGAAACCATGCTTTTTAAAAATTAATATCAGATTTAGCCTGATTGGAGCAGGTTGAATAATAAAAAAATCTCAAGTGTAGTTTTCAATACTAAATAAAATACTTTTTCAAAATCTATTCAAAATGCCGTCTTCTATGTTTACAGATATTATAACTAACAGCAAAGAAAAAGGGAAGGTACTTCGTTTGTGTAATCAAATTACACATGGTCTAGTTTCTAATAATAATCAATAGTTTATATCAGGTTCAAATGATGCATGACATGTCAAGACTGCCATTGCTACATCAACATTAAGACACTCCCCGGATTATTATAAATCATAAAGTACCTGGTTAAACCAGTTGTGCCAAATTATGGCAGTACTATTTATAGCAAAGACTTGATCTGGAGGAGCTTCAGGATCCATCTTCCCAATTTTCACCCTATGAAAGGATTGGTTGGAAGAAATGATCCAATTGATAACATCAAACACAGATATTAATATCCCATTGTGGTCAAAGAAAATTTTGTCCCCGACACTGTTGTTAAATGAGACACTCTTCAGAAACTGATGGAGCTAAATAGAAAAGGGAATAGCAAGAATTTAGAAAAAAAATGATACAAATGGACTGAAATATTCAACTGGACATGCATTATTTAACTAAGTAATGCTTTACATCTGTGCTCTTTATATTAAAAAAGTATCTTCTTCCAGCTTTTCAGTATATTTTGTTCTTGTTTATTCATTCAGTTACTTCTGATTCTTCATGATCTCATGGACCACGCCAGAGCTCCCTGTGGGCCGTCACACCCCCAGCTCCTTCAAGGTCAAGCCAGTCACTTCAAGAATGCCATCCATCCATCTTGCCCTTGGTCGGCCCTTTTCCTTCCATTTTCCCCAGCATCAGCATCGGGCGGGGGGGGGGGGGGCTAGAGGGGCTTCAGCCCCCCCCCCCAATTCTCATGGTGGTTCGCAAAAAGGCCTTACTGGTACATTATTTAAACTGTTATGTTTATTCATATCATGATCTGATCACCATACTCAATATATCCCATATGCATGGGGGTATTGGGGTAACGATACAAAAGGTTTGCTAGGGTAGACCCTCTTTCACTCAGACTCCCCCCGAATTGAAATCCTGGCTCCCCTCAAATCAAAATCCTGGCTACGGGCCTGCCCAGCATCACTATCTTCTCCAAGCTTTCCTGTCTTCTCATTATGTGCCAAAGTACTTCATCTTTGCCTCTAATATCCTTCCCTCCGGTAAGCAATTAGGCATTATTTCCTGAAGAATAGATTGCTTTGATCTTCTTGTGGTCCAAGGCACTCTCAGAATTTTCCTCCAACACCACAGGTCAAAAGCGTCTATCTTCCTTCACTCAGCCTTCCTTATGGTCCAGCTCTCGCAACCATAGGTTACTATGGAGAATACTATTGCTTTGACTATGCAGATCTTTGTTGCCAATGTGATGTCTCTACTCTTCGCTATTTTATCAAGATTATTCAGTATAAACTTTCAATTAATGTTAAACTAATTTTCTTGGAGTATATAAATAAACATTTTTTTTAAAATATTGAACTATTTTATTTTTATGCTACAATTTCTCTTGACATGGGACCCAAGAAGCATTTATTAGAATGAAAGAGGAAGTTTACTGCACAAATAAAATAGAGTAAACTTTATATATACCCTGCCACCATCTCCCCGAAAGGACTCGGGGTGGCTCACAAAAGCACCCTAGAGTGCTGCATATAAAATAAACAACATATAAAACATAACAACAATACCAACATAAAATTATGACAGCAACCACAATGAACACACATAAGATAACAATAAAAGTGTTAAAATTTATAAAACACAGTAATACCTGTAGATAAAACTGGCTGTCATCAATTAATGAATTAGAGTGCCAGAGTGAATAATTAGTCCTCACATGGATCATTTCTATCTACTCAAGATCAAAGACCTGTTTAAAAAGCCATGTTTTTAGGATAGACCAGGGGTCCTCAAACTAAGGCCCGAGGGCCGGATATAGCCTTCTAAGGCAGGGGTCCTCAAACTAAGGCTCAGGGGCCAGATACAGCCCTGCAAGGTCATTTACCCAGCCCTCGTTCAGGGTCAACCTAAGCCTGAAACAACTTGAAAGCACACAATAACAACAACTCTATCTCATCAGCCAAAAGCAGGCCCACACTTCCCACTGAAATATTAAGTTTATATTTGTTAAAATTGTTCTTCATTTTAATTATGGTATTGTTTTTAAGTGGGTTTTTTTGCACTACAAATAAGATATCTGCAATGTGCATAGGGATTCAAATTATTTTTTCAAATTATAATCCAGCCCTCCTGTGGGACTGTGACCTAGTCCTCTGTTTAAAAAGTTTGAAGACCCCTGGGTTAGATCAAAAGGCTTGGAGAATCGGGGCTAATCTAATCTTTCTAGGGAGGCGATTCCAGAGCTGGGGAGCCACCACTGAGAAGGCCCTCTCTCACTCCCCACCAACCATACTTAAGATGGTGGTAGGACCGAGAGAAGGGCCTCCCTGGCAGATCTCAGAGCCTGCACTGGTTCTTAGAATGAGGTGTGGTCTCAAAGATAGGTTGGACCCAAAGTGTATAGGGCTTTAAAGGTAATCATCTGCACTTTGAATTGGGCCTGGAAACTTTTTGGAAGCCAGTGGAACTGCTTTAATAGGGGTGTGGTATGCTCCCTATAGCTACGTAGCCCCAGTTAGTAATCTGGCTGCCGACCTTTGTACTAACTGCAGTTTTTGAGCCGTCTTCAGAAGCAGCCCCATGTAGACTGCGTTACAGTAGTCTATTTCGGGTGTAACTAAGGCGTGGACCACCACCTTAATTACACTGAGAAATGTTTCTGCTATCTTTTTATTTCCACCAGAATTTGAGAGCCAGTGTAGCATAGCCTTTGAGTGTTGCCTTAGGATTCTGGAAGACCAGGGTTTAAATTTCTGCTCACAGACATAAATCTATCTTGGGCAAGTTATAACTTTCTGGCTTCAGAGGAAGGAAATGATAAGCTTCTGTGACTAAAATAAATCTTGCTTAAATCTTGCAGTAAGTGTTCACTCGATGCCACATAACAAAATCACCTAAGGAAACACATCAGTGGAGGCAGTCCCCAAGTTACATGCCTAAGACTTGCATATGACGGATAGTTAAAAATGAAGGTGAGACAACAGGAAGTGAGGGCAATCTACCCCTAGGAAGGGAAATTCAACGGCTATGTCTTTGTGTGGTATGTGATGTTATTTTATGTGATGTGTTTAATAATGTATTATCAGGGGTCAATTTTGATGTTTTATACTGTTTTTTATCAATGGCATCGAATTGTTGCCAATACCGTGAACCGCCTTGAGTCCCCTTCGGGCTTAAATACCACAAATAATGAATAATAAGAAATAAGATATTCACTCCTCGAAGAGTTATCATGGGGAAAAGGTGTCTCCAAAGAAGCTTTGTCACCAATCCTTGTTTCTACAACAAGGCATTTTTTTCAAAATCCAATGATCACAGGGACAGATTGAGGTGAAATCTTCTCAGTAGGAGCACAGATAGCAAAACAAATGTCACAGGAGTGTTAATCCTTCCTTATGTTGGCCAAAATGTGTCCAGAGGAGGGTGACTAAAATGATCAAGGGTCTGGAGAACAAGCCCTATGAGGAGCAGCTTAAAGAGCTGGGCATGTTTAGCCTGCAGAAGAAAAGGCAGAGAGGAGAACATGACGAGGACCATGTATAAATATGTGAGAAAAAGTCGTAGGGAGGCAGGAGCAAACTTGTTTTCTGCTACCCTGGAGACTAGGATGTAGAGCAATGGCTTCAAACTACAGGAAAGGAGATTCCACCTGAACATTAGGAAGAACTTCCTAACTATGAGAACTGTTCAGCAGTGGAACTCTCTACCCCGAAGTGTGGTGGAAGCTCCTTTTATGGAGGCTTTGAATGCAATTGTCCTATTTCTTGGCAGGGAGTTGGACTGGATGGCCCATGAAGTCTCCTCTAACTCTATGATTCTATGATTCAGTGAAAATTTGTGTGTGTGTGTATTTTGTTGGAGTTACAGTTAAAAATGTACACGTTCTGACTTTCATATAAATTCAACTTAAGAATAAACCTACAGAACCTATCTTGTCTGTAACTTGAGGGCTTCCTGCATATGAGCAAAATTACAATTTTTTTTAAAAAATTACCATTAGCACAGCATGTAATCTACGTATTACCTGCCAAAATTTAAGATATGTCAGTCTTCCTCCTCCCATCTTTGCCTTGTGCTTGGATCCAGAGGAAAACATGGCATTTAAAGCATGGGCCACTGCATAAACAGCATTATAGATGCTGTAGCTGTGGCCAGTCATGCTCATTTCAAAAAGAGATCCCGGAAGGTTGTCCACCTTCTCTTTCCCTGTGCAAATATCTTCATCCCCTTCATGCATAGCCTCGCTTGGAAATGTACAGCCGAAGGCATGCTCCCAGAAGTCCCTGATGTAACCATTTTCTTTATCATTGTGATATTTTGTGCTTTGAATAAATTGTTGAAATGCTGGTATATTGTTAGAATGAATGGTGACACTAATGGCACCATGGAACATATCTGCGTCCCAAGTCCTTTGATAAGCTGTTGCCATGAGCTCCATCTGGGCTGTTATTATCCATACTTTGGCTTTTGATTTTATTCCGGAAATATATGCCAGCCATCTCAATGACACCATGGAATCCGATTCTCCATAAACCAGCATTGCATTGGCTTTGCTAGACATAATTTTATCATGTATTCTTACGCCCTGGGTCAGAACTTGATCAATAGCAGTCATAACATGCAATCTGGTTGCTTTTTCTACAAAATCAAAACAGACACCATTTTCATAAAATACTGGGAGTACATTTTTCACAAATCTTTCTCCATTGTCATCATCCGTAGTCAGAACTCCAATCCATGTCCAACTGAAATGGAGAAGTAAAGAGAGAATCCCTGTATACTGAGCAGTTTCTCCAGGTACCATCTGATAGAAAGAAATCCCTGAGGTTTTCTCATCCATCACTGGAGCAGAGCCATATATAAGCTACAGAGAAATATGAAGACAAGCAGGGAAAGAGGATGATTAAATTATAATTGTTTCAGTACACACATAGTTAAACACAACATAGTACACAAAATTAATATTTTAATGCATTGTTGAATGTTTTTATGATGTTGGCATCGTATAGTGCGTCTGTGAGGCCACCCTGGGTCCCCTCTCGGGGGTGAGAAGGGCGGGGTATAAATATAGGAAATAAATAAATAAATAAAATGAAACATTTTGTGACATAGAACTTCCAATATTTTTATGTCTCTGTTTTGATTTTGTAGTATGTAATAATAATAATAATGATAATAATAATCTTTATTTATATCCCGCCACCACCAAGGACTCGGGGTGGCTTACAAGGCACTCCAGGGTGCACATATGACATACAACAGGTAAAAACGGTACAAAAGTATAAAACAAGTCACATAAAATTATAACAATCCCCACCAACACATGTAGCATCAAAATAATACAATTTTAAAACAACAATAGATAAAACTAACTGCCGTCAGTTCACAAGGTGCCAAGTGTCAGCTTCATATGGGCCCATTCAGCCTACTCAAGGCCAAAGGCCTGTCTGAACATCTGTGTTTTCTGGTTGGAAAGGAAGGATTGAGGGGTGGGGGCTAATCTAATCTTTTTTGGGATGGTATTCCAGAGCTGGGAGACCACCACAGAGAAAGCTCTCTCTCTCTCTCATCCCACCAACCACACTTGAGACTGTGGTGGGACCAAGAGAAGGGCCTCTCCTACCGATCTCAAAGCCCATACTGGTTCATAGAAAGAGATGCAGTCTCGAAGATAGGTTGGATCCGAAGCGTAGAAAGCAATATTATTCCACATTCATGTACAGAGAACTAATCCTGCATTCAATTACATTGATAAAATGAATATATTTATGGGAATGTTGAATATGTCATTTGAAATCTTGATGCTAATGGTTTCATGTATTTTATTCTTTATTTAGTTTATAACCCAGTTTTCTTTTTGCACAGAGCTTGGCATTCTCTTCCCTCCCTCTTCATTAAGAGACTGATTCTTTTGAATTAGGTCCTACTAAAGGTCCTTATAGAAAATATGAGATCCAGATCTATTCATATCTACTGTAGCTTGAGTTCTCAATTGAGATTGTCATAGTGCTACTTTTTCTTTTCCCCTCTTTAGATTTCATTGGATTATATGGGTCTTAATATAGTGGTCCATTAGCAGGTTGCAGAGTTTTCAGTACCATTTCCCACTGATGCTTATTTCTCCCTTTCAGGTACAAATTATTTTGAATCTGAAATATTTTGCTATTAAATCAGAATTAAAATTTACTTGTATTACAACTCTGCTTATGTAGTCAGCATGCATACAGCAGTACAAAATCACATTTGGAAGGCAAAGGAAAAGGACAGGACAGAGGCATATTTTCACTGTTTACACATACATCCTACCTGAGGGACCTTGTAGATATCCAAGATAGTTGCCACATGAAGTGAGGTTCGGGAGTCCAGTCCCCCAATTACTGCTACTAAGCTGTTATCTAGTTTACATTTGTAATTGGGGACACATATTCCAGACAGAGATATAAACATGATTGCACTATAGAAGGCCCACTTTATGTTGAAATAGCTGTCATAAATGTGGAAGCCCAGGGTGACATTGGGTAGGATCTGAAGGTTTTCATTTATTTCCTTTATTGCAAATTCCAAAGCCAGGATATGTTGGTAATTCTTTGGCACCATACTAGAAGAGAAGTCAAATGAGAATAATCATGGAATGGCCCATACTCTTTATCATTTAAATTAGGATGAGTGACTTTCATCTCCTACGACCTCTTCACACTCCCAACCCTACTTTAATAGCTGGATGCTACTCTGAATAATCAAACCTGAGAAAGTTGAATTAATATAAATTGAAATGAAAGAAAGAAAAGAAAGAAAAGTAAAAAAAAAGGTAAAAGTTTCCCATTGACATCAAGTCTAGTCTTGCTCAACTCTGGGAGGGGGGGGGGTGCTCATCTCCATTTCTAAGCTGAAGAGCCGGTGTTGTCCATTGACACTTCCAAGGTCATGTAGCCAGCATGACTGCATGGAGCATCATTACCTTCCTAATGATCTACTCACATTTCCATGTTTTCGAGCTGCTAAGTTGGCAGAAGCTGGGGGTAACAATGAGTGCTCATCCTGCTCCCTGGATTCAAACTGCTGACTTTTCAGTCAACAAATTCAGCAACTATACCACTGGAGGATCCAAAGAAAGTTAGAATGGTGTAAAAAGCAGAAGGAGAACTTTTAAAATAGTAAATACACCCATTGTTAGCAATCTCTGATTTTGTTTCCTTTTAACAACTTTTCTGAGACTGCCATAGCCAGATTTGATTATGGAGATGTCAAAACCAGAAAAGGTAGAAATGGTAAACTGTCAGATCCTGATAATAAAACATAACTGGGAGGAAGGTGTCAATTTAATTATGCTGGGGAAGGAGCTGAAATATGAATGTTGGCATTAATGGCAGTGAGCACTTGGTATGAAACCAAAAGAAAATTATTTTAGGATCTTACAATGTGTGTTTTTTATACTTCCACAATGTTATTCATTATATTTTCTCTGACTTAAAATTATCATTGATTTATTTTTTTTAAAAAATATACATCGTTTATCTATATAAATAAAAATGTAATGTTCATTTGTGGGATTAACATAACTCAAAAACCACTGGACGAATTGACACCAAATTTGGACACAATACACCTATCAGGCCAACGAGTGACCACCATTCATAAAACACTGAAAAACACAGCAGAAGTGTGGCCAAAAAAGCCAAAAAACAAAAAAAAAGCCTTAAAGCGCATGCTCAAAACCACATATATACACAAACACACATATATACACATATACACAAATATATATACACACACAAAACACATATACACAGACAGGGCCATAGCAACACATGGCGGGGGACAGCTAGTAACTTACAAATTATGATTGATAGTAAATTACAGCTATAAGAATATGGTTGAAGTTTAGGAAAAAATAGATTCCTGCTGATACTAAAATATATGCTTGTTGCAGCTAACATTATAATAGCTGGAAGTTTCCAGAGGTATCACCAGTTGTAGAATGGGAACAAAGGTGATAGACATATAGGTACTACACAAAATATGCAATCATGTGGCATTGTGAAATAATCAGATCTTGAGAAATAAAGCAGTCTGTAACCAATTTTAGTCCCAATTAGACTAACATTAAATAGGTAAATCAAAATTGACAATAGGTTACATTCATCTAATGCTGTGATTCTCAACCTGCAGGTCCCCAGGTGTTTTGGCATACAACTCCTAGAAATCCCAGCCAGTTTACTAGCTTTAGGATTTCTGGGAGGTGAAGGCCAAAACATCTGGGGATCCACAGGTTGAGAACCACTGATCTCATGAATCTATTCTAGTTAGAATTAGGTCTCCCACAGATTCCTAACTGGAGCACATATGAAGCTTCATGGAGATGCAGGCACAAATACATCACTTTTTTTAGAATAATACACATACACATCAACATATACAGTTGCCAAAGAAAAGGGTGAAGAAACAGAAAATTAACATCTTACATATTCTCTTCAATCAATGATTGCGGCCTTTCTGTGTAGGTGATTTCATTGGAAACAATTATAGCCTGTGATGCAACAAAACCGAGAAGGAGCTTGCCTGGGTGAAGATACTTATGAGGTGGAGGGTAAGGATAACGAATCATGCACTGAATTTTCTGTGCCTTACTCTTTAAGTGAGGAAGTACGGCAGGTATCAAAATCATTAATATCACCATTCTTAGAAATCTTTCCTCCATGGACATTTTATCAATGATATTTTCCTCTATAACATCTCAGTTAGGATTTCCAAGTTTCAGCTTTAACTGAAATGACTGCTCAGACAACGTTTTTATCCTGAAGGATGGAATAGCTGCATTATAGATACGGTCTTCTTTATTTCTAGTACTCAGATTTGGTAAAATATGGTATTATGGTATATTTATAAATGCATCACTGATTTGAACATTATTGTTTCTTTCTTAGTCCCTACTAAGCAGATTTAATTACAGGTCTCTTGGCAATTCAATTCGAAGGTCAACACTAATTCTAAGTCAGGGATCCCTGGGGAGTTGGAACAAAAATGTGTTTGTCATATTTGAAAAAAAAAGTTGAATGATATGGGTGCTCTGGGAATTGCAAAAAAAAGTGTGTTTTTCAGGTACGAAGACAAGATTATCTTTTCTAATTTCTAATTCTACTGTAATAGAGAGTAACATTAGATATATTTGTGGATGAAATGAAATACCAAAAATGATTCAAAGTCAAATACTTTTGTCCCAAGAAAATGGGGAAATAATGATGTTATTTCATAAGATACTGTGTAGTGTGAGAAGATATTGCGTGTAGTATGGGAAGATATTGTGTGATAAGATATTGTGTATAGTATGAGAAAGAAAAATAAACATTGATATTGTTGCATGCATGTCTTCTTGGCTGGCACCCTGTTCGTGACACATGAATTTCTAAGTCCAACACAATCTCTAAGCCTTTTCTCTCTGTGTGATTATGTATTCATTGCAAAGGCTGCCAGTCTGCTATCGAGCACAATTCCAAGTGCTGGCTTTAGCCTATAAAGCCCTAAATGGTTCCAGCACAGCTTACCAGTCTGAACATATCTCCCTTGCTTTGTCTACATGAGCAATAAGCACATGCTCTTCTTTTCATTATCACTTTTAAAATATACTTTCTGATTTTGTCATTCTTTTCGTAAAATACTAATTGCCTAAATAGTGTTTAGTGCTAGCTTTAATCTATAAAGCTCTAAACGGTTCCAGCCCAGCTTACCTGTTTGAATATATCTCCCTCTATGATCCACCTCAGAGGTTAAGATTGTCAGGGGAGGCCCTGCTCTCGGTCTGACCTCCCTTGCAAATGCTGCTGGTGGGAACAAGAGGCAGGGCCTTCTCAGTGGTGACCCCTCATCTACGAAACTCCCTCTTCAACCCCCTCCCTCCTGACCATCAGGAAAAAAAAATAAAAATGTGGCTTTGGGACCAAGCCTTTGGTCAGTAACTTTTGAACAGTGCAATAAGTGATTACGAAATAATATAAGGACGAAGGGTACGGCTCTGGATTATGATTTGGATTGCATGACTTTAATGAAGGTTTTAATGTTGATGTTTTCATAGTTGGATTTTAATGTATTTGTTCACTGTAATTGTTTTAATTGTGCGGCATCTAATTGTTGCCTTTGCAAGGCCGCTCTGAGTCCCCTTTGGGGTGAGAGGACGGGGTACTAATGTGGTAAATAAATAAATAAATGTTCTCTTTCATCCCCTGTCAAGGGAACATGTTTTATGCAGAAAGACAAATGGTCCCGTCCCCCGCCCCTCCCCCCCCCCCCCCGCCATGGGGATAACACTTCCCAAAGTAACAGCAACATGGAAAGCTTCCCACATTGCATAGGGAACAATGGAGGGAAGCTGAATGGCAGACGTTTCCCCCTATGGGATGGAGTATGTGGGAAGCCACAATGCGTGGTGAATCCCATAGGTAATGTGATGAGAGCCACCATGACAGAATCATGAAATTGGTTTATCAAGTATGGAGACAAATTTGGGTACTGTTCCAAATGAAGCAACTGAAGCCAAATAATGTTGCTTTATTTCTGCTAGATAATAATAATAAATCTTACTCACCTCGAGGCCGTTCACAGCAACAATTCTTTAATAGCTACATAGTTATTTTATGTGCACTATTTCTGATTTTATACAATGTTTATATCAGGCAACATTGCAAATAGCTTTTAAGAACCACATAGTGGTTCTCACATAAGGAAAAAGTTGTTGAAATTATTCATTGCTACTTTTATGAAGAAGTTACACCGCCAGACACAGATACAAAAATCCATCAACATGTTCTCTTTATTAGTTGTGTCCTGTTGTTCACATCAGGTCTTAACAAAATAATATAACATTTAGGAGAAAAAATGCAACCCAGAAGTCCGGCGCTTGAGGCTAACAGGGAAAAGATCTCTATAGCTACTACATATTTTCCTTTCACACTCAGATGGATTGGAACAAAGGATACCCAAACACTACAAAAAATAAACATGCTGAAAGTTATAAACTTGGCTTCATTGAAACTGCCAGGTAGCTTCCTAGCAAGGAAAGCTACAGTGAAACAAATGGTGGCCAGAAAGCCCAGGTAGCCTAAAACACAATAAAACAAAAGTATAGATCCCTCATTGCATTCTAATATGATTTCTTCAGTTATGGAATGTGTGTCAATATCTGGAAATGGAGAAAAGCTTGCCATCCACACAGTACAAATGATTGCTTGGATAATGGAACCAACAAAAACAATAGTTTTGGGCGATCTCTTCCCCACCCACTTCTTCATCCGAGAGCCTGGCTTTACGGCCATGAAAGCCAGCACCACTGTGATAGTTTTTGCCAGCACACAAGAAACAGCCACTGAGAAGATAATGCCAAAAGCAGTTTGACGAAGGAGACAAGTCACCTTTTGAGGCCTGCCAATGAATAACAGTGTGCAAAGAAAGCAGAGTAGCAATGAGATGAGGAGACTGTATGAAAGATCCCGGTTGTTGGCTATGACAATAGGAGTATTGTGATGCTTCAGAAAAATCCCTAGCACACAACCTGTAATCAAAGTAAAGAAAAGGGCAAAACATGCTAAACAGAGTCCCAATGGTTCTTCAAAGGACAAGACATTTATAGATTTGGGAATACATAAATCACGTTTTTTATTTGGAAACTTTTCATCTGTGCATTTATAACAATCATTCATGTCTGAAAAAGAAGAAAAGGTGTTTCAATCTATGCTTACATACTGTAAACCTGATCAATGTACTATAGCTCTGTAGGGGGAATCTCATATCCCAGATGATGATCTCACCATTGACCAGGCTGACTAAGGCTTAGATCCTGCTAGTACAGGTAAGGGCAAACTAAGGCCTGGGGGCTGGATGTGGCCCCTTCAGCTCTTTTCTCAGGCCCTCCTTTCTCTCACATCCTATTCCTTCTTTCCCTCTTTCCTTCCTCCTTCCCTCCCTCTTTCTCCTTCTCTTCCACCCTTTCGTCCTTCTTTCMTTCTCTCTTTCCTTCCTCCTTCCTTCCCTCCCTCTTTCTCTCTCTTTGYTTCCTTCCCTTCCACCTTTTCATCCTTCCTTCCTTTCCTTTTTTACTCTTTCTCCTTCGTTTTATCTTCCCTCCTTCCCTCTTTCTCCCTCYTTCCATTCCCTTCCACTCTTTTGTCCTTCTAGCCTTCCCTCCATTTTGCATTGCCTTCCTTTTCTCTTTCATTCCTCCTTAACCTCCCTTCCTTCCCTCCCTCTTTCTCCTTCCATTCTTCCCTTCCACCCTTTTGTSCTTCTTTCCTTCCCTCTCTCCCTCTTTCTCCTTCCTTCCTTCTCTTTTGGCTTTCCTTCCTGCTCTTYCTCCCTTCTCTTTTTCTTCCTCCTTCCTTCCTTCCTTCCTTCCTTCCTTCCTTCCTTCCTTCCTTCCTTCCTTCCTTCCTTCCTTCCTTCCCTCTTTCCCTCCTCCTTCCCTCTTTCCATCTTTCTCCTTCCATTCTTCCCTTCCTCCCTTTCATCCTTCCTTCTTTTTCTCTTTCCTTCCTCCCTCTGTTCCATCACCGGGCAGCCAGTCCTCCTAGTATACAGCCCCCAAGTTAGAAAGTTTGCCCATGCCTGTGCTAGTAGGTCCCCATTATAACAGATTAATTGAATTAATTGTTGAATGGTGGGTCAATAGATTGTTATATTACACTGATTCATTTTGTCTATTTTAGTTGAAACTTTCAGTGACATTTAAGCCTAGAGTTGCTAAAACATGGGATTCAATCCGCTTCTGAAGGACCACCTGTTTCCCACCTTTTCATATGTCAGAATGAACGTTATATTCTTACAAAATACAGAATGAACGTTATATTCTTACAAAATATGACAGCAGTGGATAATGGAGGTTTCTTTAAATGTCTTGGGTGGTTTCAACCTTTGCTCCTGAAGTCAGAACACCTGATCGTGGAGCACCAAACACACAAGCCTCATTCTTTTGGATTTCAAGTAGTCTGTTTGATCAATATGGACATATTTAATTTTTTACCTGACTGATTTGAAATCTTCCCTTCTGGACATGAGATGCAATCATAGCAGCAAAATGGTTTGCCTTCACTTTTTTTCTTACTAGAGCCAGGATGACAGCTCTGAGTACATAGAGAAGATGGCCGAGCCTACATCATAAAGGAAAGAGAAGGATTTTAATTATGTGAACAGTTCCTTTTGAACCTTAGAGATTCTGGAGCAATTTGAAAGTTAACATCAGAGAAACTGATTTTTCATGGAATTTTCTCATTCCAATAAACAAATACTAGAAATGGTGGGCCAATGTTGAAATTTTGAACTGAAAGCATCTTTCAAAAAGTGCACATGATAGTTAAAATTGTAATGGTGCCTTATTCAAGCACATGGTTTTCCTACAGTAAAAGATGGACGTTTTAGTGCAATGAGGACGATCTACACTCAATTGAAGTTGTAGAAGTGAGGTTGTGCATTTACTGCTGTTAGACATGCATTTGCAATTTGGGTTCTGCATGGTTGCTATTCAAAAGCATAGCACAAACAATGTGTAATGTATCATGTTTCACAGTTGATGGTGGTTGGTGGTGTCAGGTCAAGTAGTTGATGATGGAAGGGGTTAATGTAAGTCTTAGTTCTAAAGGGCAGGGTAATCTGGAAGTAAGAATTTACAAGCAAAAGCAATTAAGGGTGGAGGCATGCAAGAGATATGATGCAGCTGGGTTTAACTGGATTTAAGAGCTAGCTTGGAAACTGATCTTTGGGAGAAAAGTCTTTGTTCTATTTTGGTAGTTTTTCCTTTAGGTCTGTGGATTTTTGGTATCCTGACCTGCCTCCTCAATTCTTGGAACCTTGAATCTCTGGACTGCATTTTGACTATGGTATAGATTCTTGATCCTTGGACTTTACTCATTGAAGTCTCAGTGTTTGACCACTGGACTGGACCCTTTGACTGTGGTGTTTTCTTGAACCTACATCATCATTTGCTATCAGTTTTTGTTTTATATTCTGTGGCTGAGGACTATCTTTATATTTTATGTTTGGACTATGAACACAGCCAGAAATAAGTGCTGCTTTACTTAAATAGATTTACACAAGCAGGCAGGCCCGTAGCCAGGATTTTGATTTTTTTTTGGGGGGGGGGCTGAGTCTGAGTGAGAGAGGATCTATCCTAGCAAACTTTTGTATCGTTATCCCAATACCCCCATGCATATGGGATATATTGAGCATGGTGATCAGATCATGATATGAATAAAGATAACTGTTTAAATAATGTACCAGTAAGGCCTTCTCACTGACCACTCTGAAAATTTCAGGGGAGGAGGGGTGAAGCCCCCCAAGCCCCCCCCCCCCAAGCTACATGCCTGCAAGCGGGGTGTTGTTTTGGTTCACTTCTGCCTCTGTACTGACAGAACCCTGGTAATATAACAAAATACTTTTCTTCCAACCAGTCCATCCTCCAGGAAATAAAGCCCGACTGCTCATTGGAGGGAAGGATACTAGAGACAAAATTGAAGTACTTTGGCCACATCATGAGGAGACAGCAAAGCCTAGAGAAGACAATTATGCTGGGGAAAGTGGAAGGCAAAAGGAAGAGGGGCCGACCAAGGGCAAGATGGATGGATGGCATCCTTGAAGTGACTGGACTGACCTTGAAGGAGCTGGGGGTGGTGGCGGCCGACAGGGAGCTCTGGCGTGGACTGGTCCATGAGGTCACGAAGAGTTGGAGACGACTGAACGAATGAACAACAACAATTTTTCTCCCAAACATCATTCTCCAAGCTAGTGCCTTAAATCCAGTTAAACCCAGCTACATCCTTTCTCTTGCATGCCTCCACCCTTAATTGCTTTTGCCTGTGAATTCTTACTTTAGAAATTTTGCCCTTTAGAACTAAGACTTACATGAATCCCTTCCATCACCAACCGCTAGGCCTGACACTACTAACGACCATCAACTGCAGAAAATGATTCATGACACAATGCATGACTCCACTATATACAGAGTAAAGAGTATGCAACTCAGTGTAGGATCATTATCAATATATTTTGTTAAGCAGTCATACTGAAGTAGAAACAATATAATTAAGACATTTCAATCATAATTCAGCTGTAATGTGACTGCAGGAGAGCCACAGTGTCATAAGCCCTTCCAAATATGCTCTTATCCTTCCCAAATTACACTTTATTAGCCTTGTGTGATAAAATGCATAGTCTCCCAACTGAACTCTACCTGATTAAACCAGTTATGCCAAGTTATGTTCTCATTTATGGTGAATGCTTGGTCTGAATCAGCTCTGGGATCCACCCTTCCTACTTTCACTTTATGAAATGACTGGTTGGAAGAAATGATCCAGTTGATAACATCAAATCCAGCTATTAACTTTCTGCTGTGATCAAAAGAAATTTGGTCTCCAGAACTGTTGTTAAATGAGACACACTTCAGAAAATGATGGAGCTAGATGGGGAGAAATGTGGGAGCACGGGAGGGAAATGGGTGAGAGAGAGATTGGAAAAACATTTTAAATCTATAGCAATCTTTTAAAACTCTCCAGTGGAGATCCAAGTCTCATTCACTCATTCAAAACTCTAGTTGAATCAACATATTAGGAGGTGGGTGCCCCAAAACAAGAATGACAAAACTGGAGCTCTTTCCTTACTCTTCAGTTAGTGATTTTTAAAACATTATTTTAGCTATTTATGTAGATTGTTGGTATACAGGATTTCTAAAAGCTGATTTGAATCTTGACTGAAAACTCCTATTTTATTCATATATCTTATGTATCAAGTTCTGTTTCACAGATCTTGTGAAGTTTATATATAAAAAAAACCCAGGCTCTATTAAGTTCTGTTGATCACATACCCATTTGCATTCAACATCTTCTGAAGATTATGTGGAAGAGATAACAAGAAATGGGCCTGAATGCAAATTGCAAGCAAGAGAAAATGCCAGAGGGGCATTCTCATCATCATTCTCCATTCCATCTCAAACTTCAGAATAAAACTGACACTACCCCAGAATGCAAATATATCTTGAAAATTAAGGACAATGTGGACATTTAGAGATAGTTAAATATAAAATTAGAGCCTACATTTATGATGATACATGAGGAAAGAAAGCCACTACCTTCCATTGCTGTTTATTTTTGAGTTGTAGTCCACTTCTGTCCACTTTGCTTTTGTATTTTAGCCTTGATGATAGCATAGCATGTAAGGCATGAGCCAGTGCATAGATGGAATTGTAGATGCTGTAGCTGTGTCCAGTCATGCTCATTTCAAAAACAGATCCATGAAGACTGTCCAGATTCTCCTCTCCTGAGCAAATGGTCCCAACTATCACATCCTCAGATATATCTGGAAATGTGCAGCCAAAGACCTGTTGCCAGAAATCCCTGATAAAACCATCTGATTTTGCAATGAGGGGATTTCTACTCCCAGCAAATTGCTGAAATCTTGGTATATCACGAGTCTGGACTGTAAAAGATATACTTCCATGGAATATTTGTGCATCCCAAATCCTTTGAAAAACAAATGACGTGAACTCTATTGGTGAAGATATTATGAAGACCTTACCATTTGATTCATCTATCTGTTCTCCTTCTGATACATATGGCAACCATCGCAATAACCCAAGGAAATAAGATTCTCCATATACCACCAAAACATTGACATTGCTACTTGTGACTCTACTATGCGTTCTCGCCATGTGTTGTATTGAATCATATATGTCAGCAACAGACCTCATTATGGGCAGTTGTTCTATGAAAGCAAAACAGATACCACCCTTGGAAAATTTTGGAAACACAGTTTTCACAAATCTTTCTCCGCTGTCATTATTCATGGTAATGATACCAATCCATGTCCACCCGAAATGCAAAAGCAATGAGAGAATCCCTTCATACTGAAAATGTACTGAAGGGACCATTTGATAGAAGGAATATCTTGAGGTTTTATCATTTGTTTCTGGGGCAAATCCATATATGAGCTGAAGGTACAGATGAGGAGGGGGAGAGAGAAAGAATATATCCACATTAATATGTCACATTCATGTTTTCAAATTGTATCCCATGTTTGCAAGATTAAGAAATTAGTTCTTATCTTAATTGCATATGTAGTCAAACACAATGTTTTTCAAAGTAAAGCATGTTTCCAGGTATACACAGGCAAAACAAGTATTGACTTCCTCTTTGTAAATAATGCATGAACCAAAAAAACAGTTTGCTAAGTAATTCTGGACAGATGATAAGAATAGAAATCTAATCCTTTCTAGATACTACAGAGATAAATCTTATTTATTACCTTATCGCCTAGAACAATAGTTTCCAACTTCTGGTCATCTAGGTGTTTTGAACTTCAACTCCCTGACTTCCTGATAGTTGGGCAAGGTGGTGAAGGCTTCTGGGAGTTAAAGTCCAAAACATCTGGAGAACCACTGGTCAAGAAGCTAGGTCTTAAATAAAGGGACTGCAACCAAACGTTTTTTTTTTCAGTTCAGTTTTTCATCTGATAACAAAGTTTTTCTTTCTTTCATACACATGTGCAAACATACAAAAGCATAATGATGACTGAATATATTCAGTAACCAGTCCAGGAAGGTGGCCCCAATATCGTAGAATGGAGATTTTGCTCCAGGCTTTAGCCTGAATGTTAAAGATGATGTCCAAGGTGCTAAACCATATTTTCAAAACAGGGTCACCATCTCAAATGGTTTTGTTAAATGGGAAAAAAAAGATATCTCACTCTGTGGTATTGAATCTGGCAGTCCACTAATGGTAACTATGGAATGTGTCTTTTTATGGGATAGGAAAAAAAAAGGTTTCCTCTTGACATTAAGTCTAGTCGTGTCTGACTTGGGGAGTTGATGCTAATCTCCATTTCTAAGCTGAAGAGCTGGCATTGTCTGTAGACACCTCCAAGATCATGTAGCCGGCATGCCTGCATGAAGCGCTGTTACCTCCCCTCTGGAGCGGTATCTATTGATCTATTCACATTTGCATATTTTTGAACTGCTAGGTTGGCAGAAGCCTGGTCTAACAGAGGGAGCTCACCCCACTCCCCGGATTCAAACCACCAATCTTTTGGTCAGCAAGTTTAGCAGTTCAGCAGTTTAACATGCTGCACCACCAGGGGATAATAATAATTGTTGTTGTTATTGTTATTGTTGTTGTTATTATTATTATTATTATCATTATCATTAGCTTGGTAAAATATGCCTAAGAATGACCTAGCAGATTTGCGGGCATAAACCTGAACAGGAGCACTCATGTTAGGGAATGAGAATGTTTACCACTTTTTGTTGTCCCTTTATCCCTTATGCCCATCTTGTGTGCAGTAATTTGGCTTTAATATTAATATTAAGCTCCTTTTACTTTATTTCATATATCAGTGACTTGAATGAACAAAATAAAAGTGAACATAATGTTCAAAATTTCTTCTCTTTCATTCATACTCAGATCTCTTTCTCTGACAAACACACACCTGTGGAATCTTGTAAATATCCAAAACACTTGCCACTTGAAGTGAGATGTCAGAGTCTAGTCCCCCAACAACAGCTACCAGATTATTCTGCTGATGACATACATAGTTTGGGACAAAATGCTCCATGGTTGATGTTAGGCATATTGTCGAATGGTAAGTTCTCTGTGCATTGAAATAGCTGTCATAGATGTGGAAACCCAAGGTCTGGTTTGGTAAGAGCTGAGGGTTTTCATTTATCTCCTTCACCGCAAATGCCAATGCCATAATGTGCTGGTAATTCTTAAGTACTACACTACAACAAAAAGAACTGTTATATAATTTGTGCAAGGACATTGATGAAAGTAACACAAAAGATAGCTGAGCCCTCATCCTGGGCTTTTGGGGGGGGGACTTAAGACGGTCAGCATAGATCAAAGCTAACAGCTCACTACAACCTTCTATATAAGAGGAGCATTTCATGTTTACTTACATAACTGCTACTATAGATAGGCTGCATTGGTGATGGCCGACAGGGAGCTCTGGCGTGGATTGGTCCACGAAGTCATGAATAGTCGGAAACGACTGAACGAATGAACAACAACAAACAGAACAATTTAGTATGACACAGACACTGACAGAGAAAATATTTGAAATCCTACAGAGAAAAACTTCATAAAGCGAACAAAGATATTTTTAAAGCCTAAATAGTTACATTACAAGTTTTTTCTCCACTCCTTATTATGAAAAAGGGAGCTTTCAAAAGTTGTGAATTCCCTAAATTTTGCCATCTTTCTTCTATAGCTCTAATTAATACAACTTTCTTCTGAGATACAGCTTTGCTCCTTCTATGGATACATAAGATGCACATACAGACAAATCATCATAACATCAAAAGCTCATCCTTACAGAATCTGGTCAAGCGAAGCTGGCAAAGGTTCTTCACTAAAGGTCATTGGATCAGAGACAATGAAAGCTTGAGAAGCAATGCCACCAGCGAGGAAGTCTCCTGGCTGATGATATATGTGAAGAGGAGCATGTACATAATGCATCCTGCATTTGACAGAACAGCTGTTGCCTAAAGCATTAGGAATAAGTACTAACAATATTGCCATGACAAATAAGATCATTCTGAAAGCAACCCAAACTCTTCTCTGTATGTCAAGGTTCCCCTATGCAAAACTACCTGCCTTTCAATAAAATTGTTTTGATTTGCATTTTCTTGACTTACAACCCTTTTAACCCTGAAGTAAAAGATAGCACATTTGTGAAAGCTTCCATATTCTTCCTCCTCCTCTATCTCTTAATACAGCTACTGTACCTGCATTTATAACATCCATCATATTATTTGCTAATATTTTTACTAAAGGTTGGTGAATTCTATGGACATTTAAAAAAACAAAACAAGAAGCAGAATTGATTACAGTCCTCATTTTAATTACACTTGCAAATAAAAGCCCTGGAAATTCCCTACAGATTAGCTGTTTGTCACATGGAAAACATGGCTTGAACAAGGAGGAAACTTGGGCCTGAAATGATCTTAGCCAGAAAAGAACACTAAAAATATAAAGAAATGAATGCAGATTGTCTTGTAACCATTGTTGTTATCTGTCTTCAAGTAATTTCCTTATGGCCATGAAAGAGTGAATCACTATTACAGGGTTTTATGTGGTTGAAATCATATAACTCAACCAATATCAGCCAGTGATTTCCATGTCCAAGTGAAGAATTGAACCCCAATTTCCAAATTCATAGYCCAAACCCAAACCACTAAACTAGTGGTTCCCAACCTTTTTTGATCAGGAACCACTTGACCAAGGACCACTTTGACCAAGGATCACTCTCCAATATCAGTACCAAAAGGGTTATGAACCAGTTTTTGGTCAACTTTAGATTCAGTTTGGTTATTTGGGGTGCTGATTCAGAAAATTGCATTGGATAGACCTCATCAGTTCTAGTTTCTGATACAGAACATATGCCATCCAGTAGTCGCCATCTGCTCACCCACCAAAAACCATATTTAATAAGCCTCGGCACTATAAGAAGTTTTTGCGAGACCAGTCACTCTCGTTGCAACAGTATAGTAATGGTGAGGCCGCAGACCATATTTTAGTTCTTGTGGACCACTGGTGATCTATGGACCACAGGTTGGGAACCACTAAACTCTCTGGGATATTTTTCATGGGCTTGAAGCAGAGCTAGGAGAGGATTGTCTTTTGATATGAAAAAAATCCCAGGTAATCTTTGTTTTAGGAGATTGCAACTCTTATCATTCAATTCCCTGAACCATTATAATCTGCCGCTGTTCATTTCTTTGTGCATGTGAGTGCGTGTATGTAACTTGGGGAAAAATCACTTTTCATGTGTACAAAGAAAATACTGCCCAAATTTGCTTAGTATAACAATTACAACCAAATGTCTGCCTTACATTGAGCTTCTTGGGCAAGTTATGGATTCTAAGTGAGGAGCCTCTTATATCTCCACTGTACCCCTCAAGAAAATTAATTATGATCTATGGCTTCAAAAGATTCATTTTGCTGTGAAATCCATAAAAAAACACCCAAATTATCAAAAATGCCTATGGGTTCAAAATTACTAATTTTCTCTTAATAATACAAGCTCACAGAATGAATTAAATGAGAGTTAGCTAATGGAAAATACCCGATATACTCGAGTATAAGCCGACCCAATTATAACCCGAGACACCTAATTTTACCACAAAAAAAAAAAAACTGGGAAAACTTATTGACTTGAGTATAAGCCAAAGGTGGGAAATGCAGAAGCTTCTGGTAAATTTCAAATTAAAAATAGACGCCAATAAAATTACATTAATTGAAGCATCAGTAGGTTAAAGGTTTTTGAATATTTACCTAAAACTGTAATTAAGATAAGACTGTCCAACTCTGATTAAATCATTCTTCTAACCTTCTTCAATGTAAATGTGCTTACGTATCCTGCCAATAATCATCACAGTTTATTTTAACTATACATTTAGGCGGGAATGTATAGTTCCCCCCTAAATGTATAAGGAAAAGTGGGAAAGAAAGACTGGTGCTGAGAGAGGAGGAGAGGAAAGTGTGTGCTGTAATGAGAGAGGATAAGAGGAAGGTGTGCACTGCACCAAGAGAGGTGGAGAGGAAGGAGAGCTGGGTTGCTGTGCTGAGAGGTGAGGGTCCTGGCAGGAAGGCGTGGGGCTGAAAGCAGCAACCATTGAAGCAGGATGGGAGGATCATTGGTTTGTTCTTCAGATATTTTGGGCAACAACCATCACAATCCATGATCATGGTTCATCCTAATTGGGTTTGATGGGAAATGTAGGCCAGAACAACTCAAGAACCAAAACTTCCTCAGGCCTGGAGCAGAGAACAACACTGAATGAGTTTAATGATAAGCTAAAATGACAAATCAAGTGCTGAAAGGGAAAAGGTTTTGTGACATGATTTCATATATCCAAGATGAATTCCAGCTTTGCAAATTCTTTTAATGTAATTTTTATTCAAGAAAAAACAAAATACACAAGTGATTTTTTTTTAGATATATATAAGTAAAAAATGCACAACCACATACTATCTGCTGATATGGGGCTACAACTAAGTGAATATTAAAAATAACAAAACAGAAAGACAAAAAATATACATATAAAATAAAAATAAGCAATTATTTATTGCTCATTTGACAAAGCTCTATGCAAAGCAGCTTTGAAGAAGGGAAATAGATAAATGTGTCTGAAAATGTATATACAGAAAGTGCATATGTAGAAATTATAGAAAATACATAGGCATTTCATTTCTTTAGGTTTTCCTTCTAATCAGTTGTTTTCTGTTGTTTAGTTGCGGCCTCAATATGATGATGTAACATTTGGGAGAAAAGATACAACCCAAAAGTCCAGCACTGGAGGCTAAAATAGAAAAGATCTCCACAGCTACCATGTATTTCCCTTTAGAGCTCATGTAAGTTGGAACAAAAGATAACCAAACACTGCAAAAGATCAACATGCTGAAAGTGATGAATTTGGCTTCGTTGAAACTGTCAGGCAATTTCCTGGCAAAGAAAGCCACAGTGAAGCAGACAATGGCAAGGAAGCCCATATAGCCCAAAACATAGTAAAACATAGTTATGGACCCCTCGTTGCATTTCAGCACAATTTTTCCAGTTATTGAGTGCATGTCAGCATCTGGAAATGGAGGAGAGCTTACCAGCCAGGCAGTACAAATAGCTACCTGGACAAGAGAGCAGGAAATAACAATGGAGTTACTTAGCCTTTTCCCCATCCACTTTCTTGTGCTGGATCCCGGCTTAGTTGCCATAAAGGCCAGAATCACAGTGATGGTTTTGGCCAACACAGAAGAAATAGCTGTTGAGAAGATAATGCCAAAAACAGTTTGCTGGAGGAGACATGTCAGCTTCTGTGGTCTACCAATGAACAGGAATGCAGAAAGGAAGCAGAGAAGAAGGAAGATGAGGAGAGTGTAAGTGAGGGTCCTGTTATTGGCTTGGACAATGGGAGTCCTGTGGTTCTTCATAAATGTTCCTAGCACCAGTGCTGTGACCACAGAACAGAAAAGAGCCCAAATGGCTAAAGAGAGGCCTAATGGTTCTTCATAGGACAAGAAACTTATATCTTTGGGAATGCACATGTCTTGTTTCTTACTTGGATAGCTTTCATCTGTGCATTTATAACAGTCATTCATATCTGAAACAGAAAAGATGCATCTTAAATCTTCAAAACTTGCTATCTACTGCCATGTAGCCATTAAATCACAAAATGCATTCAGTGCTCCTCCACTGAAATTTGATGTAGGACCATATTTCTCCTGCTTTGAATCCACACCATGCTTTCTAATAAGACAGATATTCTCAAGCAGCTCAGTGTTTCAAAGTTTTGCAATATCATATTTTGTTACACAAATAAACCATTGAAACCATAGAGCTTTCCCATGTTTGTTTGTTTACCTACCTTTTTGTTTATAGCAAGCTAACTTCCCAAATCTTGCACTAAAATATTTCAGTTAATTATTGCATTGTCTTAAGAACGTGCTCGATTAAGTCCTCAGCCTCTTGTTTTGTTGCAGAACCCACAAAAAACTAGGCGTAAAAAGGTGTTCCACAAAATTGTTAAGTGCAAATTTCATGTAGAGTTTTATTTTTAACAAACAGTAATACCCAAGTAAAAACAAAGTCTCAACAAATCTATTTTGGAGGGTCTTTTTGTCATTAAATCTGGATATGTGTGTCTCATCAGGACAAAATGGCTCATGTCACTTTTCAGTGAACCATCATTCAGTAAC